TATTGGTTTCCAAACGGAAACATGATTTTTTTTTGAGGTAAACTAGCTTTTCCTTTTAAAGAACGGAAGGTTGAACAAGACAACAAGCTAACAGGAATGCCAGGAAGAGAGAGAGGAGAGACATGAGGACACATAGCCCACCCTGCCTGATGCCTGGTTGTGATGGGCTGACCTCTGCACAGAGGCATTCTTAGTCCTGTTTGCTAACGTGGTCTTGGTTTCTTGAGTGTCCCTGGGCTTGCTCTTTAACTGTATCCTGTTTTGAATTATAGTCTTGAAAGGGATCCCTTCCAAAATGTGCTTGACTCATAAGTTCAAAGATTCTAACAAAAGAAACCAGTGGAAAAGGAGCTGCATAGACCGAATCTACTTTCTTCTGCATTCTTGGGAAGATGAGGGAGTCAGGATCCCCCAAGTAGGCCTCTTGGCAATTTGAGGGAAGCTGACAGAAGTATCGAAATGAGCAATTCTAGGAGTAGCCTGGAGAGCCAGGGTTATACACAAGTCCAAGGAAGAGGAAGTAGAGGGGAGGGGAGACACTCCAACCCAGACCCCTATCCATCTGGACCACCTCACCAGCTCTACCAATATGAATTGAAAGCTTTTTGTTCATTGAGGACTTGTCTCAGTTAGCTTTGCTTGCTGGAAGCTATCAGTGTATTCAAGGAATTTCATTGGAACACTAATGAGCGTGTATTATTTTTACAACCCCTCCCCCCAAATCCTACATTAAAAAATTGGATACACCCCCTAATAAAAATAATTTTATTAGGGAGCAATGGTTTGAACTTGCTTTTTTAAATAAAGTGTCTCTCTTAATGTCTGCAACTTTTCTTGCAGGGATTACTTTCCAAATGGGAAGAATGATTCTTTTGTTTCCAGTTGGAGGGCCTTGTCCACCCAGAGTATCAGTATCATGGGAAAGTGGCTTGCAACATCTCAGCCTCTCAGTCATGAGAAGCTGCCTCTCCACTGTCACCTGTGACTGTCCCTCAGCTTCTCACTTGGGAAAGAAGGCGCAAGTATGCTTTGCACAGAATGGCCTGGGAGAGGTGTCTGGAGGAGGAGGAGGAAAGGGGTAGACATGGTGGGTTCCATCCATCAAAAAAGCCCACAGGAAGCACTAAGAGGTATTAGCAGCCACAAAGAGTACTTCCTCTGGCCTGGCCAAAAGGGGCAATTCCTGACCCCTTTCTTATTAATAGCAGAGACTCCTGTTGGTCCTCGATCATGCTGGTATGTCTCTCCTGCTCCCACCCCCAGTAATTTAACTATACAACCATACCTGGTCTCCATCCGTACTTTCAAACTTAACATACATAAACAAAAAAGAGAACTGTACAATCCCAAACAAATAGTCCACAGCTTCTTTAAGAGGTACAAAGTGGAGTGTCAGGGTCCCTGGGTCACCAGTCCTGAGGAGCTGGAAGGAGACCTTTGATGTGGATGAGCAAGAGGTTGCGAGGAAGGGAGGAGCCAAGCAGAAAGCTACCTAGGTAGGGTTATCTCCAGACCTCACAGAAATGCCGCTGAAGGCAGCAGGGATTTTGGGGGAGTGTGGCTGGGCTACACTCAGATCCTGAAGAGAGGCTCTGTGGGCCTTCTACCTGCAGACTGCCGCCCCTCACTCCTGGGCTCTCTGAAAACTAGAGGGAGAGTTTGTCCTGGTTATAGGAACATTGCCTTTCAGTGGGTTGAAACATTTGGAATCAAAGGCAGTATCCCTCGGTCCTATGAAAGACTGACAAGATGGAAATAGAGCTTCCCTTTGTGGGTTAAAGCAGGAGGTACTTATACAAGAATGAATGTCAGCGTTGTCCAGAGTTCTACAAACATTGGCCAGGACTTGCCTTTTAGAGTGGAGGTCAGGTGGAATATCATTACTGGTGGTTCCAAAGATGGGGCCCTAGGCCCTACCGCTCAGAAAGGCAGCTTTGGAAAGGGTGGGTTGTGGCAGCCCCAGAGGCTGAGCTGTCCGGAATGGGGCTGAGCAGCTCTTGTACTAGACTCAAAAAGCAGCCTTGCAGAGGAGGCTCTGTGTGGGAACAGGCCAAGGAGGGCCAGAGTGAGGACATAGTCAGAAGCCACACATGCAATGGGGCACATAAGCACCAGAGACCTGAGGGATGGAAATGTCAGGGCTGTGGCGAGCCAGAGACAGTACAGGATATGAACTCTGGAAGTACAGCTTCACATGGGGGTTTGAGGACAGACAGGCCTTATCCATCCACAATTTCTGCTTCTCTCTGGGAAGTTTCTGGTGGTCTGCTTCAAACTTTGGGAGTCATTTTAATGACTTCTCTTTCTGTGCTCTACCCAAGGATCCAGAACTCATTCACAGAGTTGCTAGGGCTGGCTCTGGAAGGGTATTCCGGTTATCCCATTACCAGCTTTGAAAAAGGCAGGGAAGTATATTCCTGAGGCAGTTGTATAGCAACCAACTCCACTTAATGGCACAATCTGTAGTTACCAAGGAACATCAGTGACTCTAAGGGAAAGACAAAGAGGGTGCCGAACGCACCCACACCTGGGGAGACACGTGACCCAGGGGACATGGCCAGACTGCAGCTATCTTTCTTGGTTTCTTCTACCTATGCTTTGGCATTCAGGATCTCAGCCTCCTGCCACTACCAGACATTCCCTTCAACATTTGAAAATCCCCATCTGACGTAGGCCAGCCATTTTGACTGTGATTCTTTTTTCTCCTTTGCTTGCTGCCCAGACTCAAGGAGCATGCTGAAGCTCCCACCTTCACCAGACCTGTGACTGCAAATTGACTTGGATGAAAGCCACAGGACTCAGTTTGCTTCCCTCCTTTCTCTGCAGGCGTCCACGGGCCCCCTGGGGAAGCACCCTGGGTCTCTGGAAACTCTCAAGGGGAGTTGGGGGAGATTTGGTGGGACAATGTTGCCTGTCCTTGTTTTTAATCATATTACACTTGCATCAAAAAACCAAAGTATGCAATGGAAAAACAAACCAATAGCAAAAGTAAAGAGGATTTTCAAGCCATATAGACAGTAACAAACAAAATGCTAGAAGCAACCCAGGCCATCAACAAAAGTATCTCCCCCAAGCTCCCCTCAGGAGAAATGAGGAGAGCCAGGAACCTCCTCTATCCTTCTCTACCAGCTTCCTGACTTTTTGTTTGTTTCTCTGAGGTGCTTAACTTTTTGACAAAAACATGGAGGGTGTGTATGTGTTGGGGGGGAGTCCTGTACCGCAAAAGTAATAATAATAATAACACAGTGAAAAATAAAGGCTTCAGCAAAACCATGGTAGCAGTCTTTTCTTCTGCTTGATTATTTTCTCTGTGCAAAACTTAAAAAATAAATCAAAATGCACTCTCACACACTATACTACACACACACACACGCACACACACACACACACACACACACACACACAGCTTCCATCCAGCAAATCTGTGTTAAATAGGTTTTGTGTCTCTCCTCCTCAACCCTTCACATGTGCAAATATAGTTTAGTGGCTGAGGTTCTTTCTCAGTCTATGCCCCCACACTCACCCTTTCTGGCTTTGCCAGGTCCTGTGGCTTTTTAGGAAGAAAGAAAATGATCAAGGTTAGAAATTCCATGAATTTTCGCTTGGCATTTCAGTTGCCAGAACCTTTGGTTATTTTTTCTCTCTCTCTCTCATTTCAAATGCATCTTTTCCCATTTTCTTCTTCCTGTTTTTAGGGTGCCATATCTTTCCCATTAGTTCTCCACAATGCCACATGATACCCTGCACTGGGTCACTGAAGTCCGGGCCTTGGCAGATAACCACCCTGATTTCCTATGGACAGGGGACCTCTCTTCCTACTTACCACCGCTCAGCCCAGAAAGCAAGTATTACAGCGTCCCGAAGCTACAGATGGATGGATGAAGAAGGAGCAGAGAAGGAAGCCACATCAATTTTTCCTACACAGGATGTATTTTGGAGCTCTCTGCCTTCTGATACACACACACACACACACACACACACACATACACACACACACACACACACACACACATTGTCACACATGCACACTGATTCACATCCCAAGAGGCAGTGCTCTAAAAAGTGCAGGATGATGCCTGGATTTTGCTGGAAATGATGTGGCTCCTTCTCTGTGTGGGGCTTGTTTTGAGTGAAATCGAGATTAGAATCCTTATCCAATCCACCTTCCATGCTGCTTCTCTTTATCTCCTATTGGCAGACTTCAGATCTGAGCTTCCACTTATGGTGGAAACTGGACCATATAGTATCTAAGGGCCCTTTCCAGATAGCAGGTTTCTAGAGCTTGCCATTAGACCATGTCTTGCCACAGCCCCTGCTCACTTTATACCCATTTCTGAGCACACATCTGCCTGACTGGCTAGAACAACATATCCATAGTTGGATGGACATAGAAGGACAGATGGAGAGATGAATGTGGTCAGTTGCATGTGCCTCCTCTATTTCCAGCCAGGTCCTTCAGCTTGGCTCTCCAGTTCCTCCCAGACATAAGCTAGGGACTGAGGCTGGCTGGCATTTTGGTTTGTCTGAGTGAGGCTGTGCTTGAGTATATTTCTTCCAATGATGACTGAAGAAAGGATGAGGAAGTAGAAGGACTAAAAAGACAGCCGAGATGTGGATAAAATGATCCCCAAAGAGGTCTGGACAAGTCCAGTGACAAAGTCATCTGCATAGCAATGGCACCAGATTCTGCAGGGGAAAGATAGAGGCTGGGCTGTCCACCCTGGCCTTCTGTGGAGTTCTCAAGGACAGTGGGGGATGGAGCCTTGGAGACGGCTGGAGGTAGAATCTCCTGGATGCATTTCACATTGACCCTGATGAGCGATGACAAAGAGGGTGGAGATGCCTTTTCTAGACATCACTTGAGGCTCTGGCAATGGACTAGACCTATAATGATGATTGTGACACACTTGAATTTGGGGATGAATTGGGAACAACAAATTCTGCTTCTGGAGTAGACGCAACTCTTTCCTTTTTCACCTTCCAGGTTGCATTTTTGCTGCTAGGAGCATCTGTGTGGTGGAATGTAACTGCTCTACTTTCTTCTGCCTGATTTCTACAGGCAGGGGAGGAGGCTGGATACGTGGAAGAGCTCCAAAGGGGATTGGAAGGGGATAGGAGGCTTCTGGACCACAGGTGGGAGGTGCTGCAAAGAGTACCTCCCAACCTCTCCCCCCCCCCCCCCCCGTTCCCCACGCCAGCCGCATGGGGGAGGCAAGGCCTTTCTTCTCACAGCTGTGAAGCACCCAGATCATTCACTGGCCCCTTAGAGCTAAGCGTGTGGGAAGGGAAAGCCAGGCCATGTCTTCTCAGTGAAGATAATACTGAGCTCACTGTCACTTCCCTATGCCACATTTTGGACCAAACTGGGGACTCTCGAAGGAAATGGTGAAGTAGCAGCATAGGAAAGTCCTCTGTCCACAGCTCTTCATCCATATTTGGGGTCTGCTGATGACACATGGAGCCAGGAGCAGCTGGAAGAAAAAGCTCTGCTCTGACATCTTTTGCTCAGGTCCTTCAATGTAGACCTGGCCACCTTGCACTGACTGTGGGTTGGTGGCTTGGTCCAGTTGCCTAGCAGAGCAACTGAAAGAGATGGGATCCAGGAAGGAGGGAGACAAAAGAGGCAGAGAGAGGACAGGGTGGGAGAGGGAGGAGATAGCGCTGTTTGGGGGTGCTGCTGATGCCTGTCGGAACTTGCACTTGGTAAAGATGATAATCTAGACTGAGGCACGGCTTGGTGTGTCCCTCCTTCCAGGGCGGCCCTGGAAGAACGGTTCTCAGCTGTCTAAGCTCATGAGGGTTATGACTTGTTCTAGTTTGTAGGCCAGTTTCTGCTTCCCACACTGGTCATCATGGTCCAGGGGTCCAAGGATCTGTAGAAGGAGGAAGAAGAGGAAGGTTACTGGTCTGCATGTGTGTATGTATATCTGGGTTTCTAATGTGGCCATGGTCAGAGGGTTGAGAAGAAATGTATTGGTTGATGCAGACAGGAGGCTGCTGGGTAGGCAGGCAGCCTGGGTGACAGCCTGGAGAGGTACAGGAAGTATAGGGCAGGGGCTACAGCATGTGAGGACTTGTGTGTGTAGAAATGCAGGGCACCAATACACACATCAAATAGGAATCAACATGTGAATTCCACTGTCCACTAGAGACAGGTGACCGAGTACAGCACTTTGATGAGGATACCTGTGTACCAAGACTACAGTCCCCTGCGATTCTACAGCATCTCCAGGGGTCCATATGTGATGCAAAAGTGTGCTTAGTGTCCAGTGGGAATGTGAGTATCTAGATGTTAAGAACCCCACTCCTCCTTCAGCTCCCTGAGACTGCATATCCACATCTATAAAGCTATGAGGCTTCATTTTACCTATTAAAAATCAAACATCGTTGGAAGAGGCTGGTTGTAAGCTTTATCAGTCTTTAGTACCTGCTGGATAAGGTCTACCAATGCCTATTCTGAAGGTAGATAGTTGGTAGGGGACAATGACATCCAATGGTCGTAGTGATGCCCTCTTGGATTTAAGAGATGAGAGACGGAGTAATGGCTCTGCCATTGCTAGCTTTGTTCTGTGAGGGCAAACCAGGACCTTTCAGAAGGGTCCTGCTTCCTCATCTGTAAACTACAGGCACTACTAACCCATCTCTAGTCTGATCCAATATAAAGGATCAAATTAGCGATATGCATGAGTACCATAGGCACAATGCCTGCCTGCTCCATGGAAAGCACCAGATAAGCAAGGCAGAATGTACTAGCGTCATGGGTCTGAGGGGCGGGGATAAAGGAGAGGGGGAAGAGAGAAAGAGGAGGCTCACAGCTCAAGGGAGGCTCCTAATATTTTGGGTTTCAAAACTTGTCAATGTTTTCTGTTTATTTTTTTTCCAGACAAGTCTATATTAGGCCTCCCTATAAAGCCCAGCCTGCCCTGCAACTTGTGGTCTTCTTGCTTCAGCCTTCTCAGTGCTAGGATTACAGGCAGGAACATAACACTAGGCAATGGATGTATTATTAATTGGTGAGGCTGAGCTGCAGCTGTTTACTTCTGGGATAGCCAAGAATGATCATTTCCTAGCACCATTATTTCATTCAGATTGGACATTTTGATCCCAAGCTAGACTGCACTAAAATGTGGTGGGGGGAGTTAAGGGGAAGGGAAAGTGGGAGAAAAACGAGGGGAGGGGGTAACAATGTTCGACAAGAAATGTACTCATTACCCTACATATGTAACTGTAACCCCTTTGTACATCACCTTGACAATAAAATTAAATAAAAAAATAAAGTGTAGATTAAGGGACAGTTCTTTCTGAGGTGAGGCAGCTGTACTTTTACACGGATGTATTATACATCATCCTTACTATTTGTCTTGTCACAGAGAGGGGAAAACTCTGCCCTGGGATCAGTTCTGGCCTATATGCTGGTACCAGAGCTCTTGCCTATAAGGGACTCACAACTGGTTTTCCCTGATCTGAGGGTCACAGAATGTGTTGCTTGTGGCCTGTAGGATGCAAGGTCCTGGCCTTCCTGGAGCTCTATTAATCAGGGGTTCCTTAGACGCTGTCTGGTTGACAAGGTTATAGTGAAGAGAGAGTCTGGATTACTCACTCCAGCTCCTGTTACTGCCTTCTGTCCAGAGAAGGTCAAGATGCTGTACTTAGATGTAGGGAATTTGGATTCTGGATCACTTGCTCTCCACTTGCATGGCCAAGAAACTCTGAGAGCACTTTTGTACTGACTAGAAAGAAGGCAGACTCTGTAGTGCCAACTATCCTAGGTGGAGTTTTCTGACTAGGGAACACAACTAAAAACACAGGCTATTCCATTCTATTTTTATTCTGTCTTATCCTATTCTATTTCTATTTTGTTTTAGTCTACTTCTGTTTTCTGTTCTAGTCTAACCTCTTCCATTCCATTCTATTCCATTTGATTTCATTCAATGTCATTTGATTCCATTCCATTCTATCCCTGTTCTGTTCAGTTCTGATCTGTTCTGTTCCATCCCATCCCATTCTGGTTTATCATTTTCCATTCCATTCTGCTCCACTTTTATTGTGTTTTAGTCTGTTTCATTCTGTTCTTGTCTCTTCTCTCCCACCTCATTCCATTCTATCCCTTTTCTGTTCCAGTTTGTCTATTCTGTTCTGTTCTATTCTATTCTATTCTACTATTCCATTCTAACTGCTATTTTCTTCACTTTCTCCCTTCTCATCCTATTTTATTCCATTTCTCTTCTTAGTTGTTCGATTCTGTCTTTCTATTCGATTTCATTCTGCTCTCTTCTGTCATCTTCCATTCTATTCTACTCTATTCCATTCCATTTCTGTTGTTTCATGCTACATCACACCACAGCATATGGCCTTTCCATGGACGTGGAAGGTATATGTTCAAAGATAACTAGATCAGAGAGAGATGAAAAATAAAGGAATAATGCAGAGAAAATAAGAATAACAAGAGGAAAAATATAAAAAACTGATCTGTGTAAGAAGAGTGGGGATTGGTGCAGAATGTGTGGACGAGACCATTCTCACCATCTCTGTCTTCACAGAACAGCTCCAGGTCTGGCTGGAGTTTCCCCACAGAAGTAGTGAGGGATGTTCACAGGACTGGCTGTTCCTGTGCATGGAGACACGCACTGCTGTCCACCATCCCTGCCCTCCTGCTTCCCCACAGGCTTGCGAAGGCCATGGCTCACCTCCTCGCTGTACTTGCCCACGTAGGAGAAGATCTCTGAGAGTGCACTCATGGTGTTGAACTCATTCATGTGCATCCGAGACTGCTCGGCCAGGTACGCATTCATGTCCTGGTCGCTGATGGCTGGCATCTTCCCAATATCTGAGTAATACCTGCATGGAGAAGAGAAGCTGGAGTCTATATAGAGAGTATGCAGGAAAAGGCTCCACTTGCATTCCAGCGTTGGATGCCTGTTCTGTGACCATCAGGGGACCACAGTGGTCTCTGTCTGTCTGTCTCTCCTACAGGGCAGCTTCATTGGTCCCAGGAAGAGCTAACTCTATCTATTTGCAGCTCCAGGTGCAGGAGGCAGAGGAGGAAGAGTAGGGAGTGGCTAGGACATTGCAGGAGGGTGGAGTCATAGGGGACAGGGCTCCAGCCTGCCTGGTGTCCCTGCTAAGCCCCTCCCACAGAGGCAGTCTCCTCCAGTAGAGCCAAAGGGCTCTTCCAAACCTTTGCTCTTCCCTTTGTCCCCTGCTCTCTGGAGGTTAGTTAGAGAGGGGCGGGGAGGGGGGCCGCTAAGAGAGAGGCTGGCAGAAGGCAATCAGTCACTGTCACTTGCAGCTGTGCACTGCTGTCAACTGGTTAATTAGATGCCATCATTTACATTTTTAATTTCTGCAATTTGACATTTTATGTATCAGACCCCCAACTCCCCACCAGAGGGGAGCTGTGCAGTTTCCTAATGAGGAACTAAAAGGCCTCAGTATCCTGAAGACGACGGCTACCTCTCATTTTCTCCTATGTGTTTTTGGGTTTGTAGCTGAGAGAAAACAAAAGAATAGTAAAACAGAGCAGGCAGCTACTAAGACAAGGAAGCATCCTCAAGCTTGGGTCTTGCAATGGCCAAGCCTGGCCTAACTTAGCCCAGCCAGCACTCAGTCCCTCGTGCTGCTGGGAGAAGAGTCAAAGCAGTTTAGGAGGGAGAGCAGTCACCAGGGCAGGGATGAGGTAAAGCAGAGGACCTGGGCACTGGGTCAGTGGTGAGGCGTTCACTTATGGGCTGATCCAGTGTTAGGGATAGTGATGGCTCTGGTGGTTCCCAAGTCTAATGTGTCCATCACGAGAACATAAGCACAGGGGATATTCTCAGCCACACTGGAAACCTCATGCTGCACTCTGGATCTGTGTCTTTCTGGCTCACATCATCTCTTTCTGTCATCAGTCCCATGTCATTTTCCCTACTTCCACCTATCCCCTGCAGGGCCCAGGGCTTGCATGTGACAGACTGACAGAAACGGCACTCAAGTGCTCCTCTAACCATCAGCTCAGGGGCATGGAAGAGAATGACAACTCACTTGGCTACTAGAACGCTCCTGGCAGGCAGGAGATGGGTAGCTGCCTGCCACAGCCACAGCCCTAGTGGGATTTAGGCCTGTTGCTGAGTGTGCAGGGAAGGTAAGGCAGGGAGAGGAGGCCTGGTGTGTGGGAAGGGGGAAGGCAGAGCGAAGAAGAGGCTATCTGGATGGGAACCCCGCAGGGCACCAGGTGATAGCACCGTCACCTGTGAACGGATTGTGTTTTCCCTGGCCAGGAGGGCTTGGCCCAAGACAAGAGCCTAGCACTATGGCCTCCTCAGCCCTGAGGACCTTGAGGAGAATGGGGCTGCCCCAGGTTCACAATCTGCCATCCAGGCCCCTTTCCCATCCTTTCTGCCTGAGTTAATTGTTGGGTAGGATATCACATTTTTGGCCTGGACCTCCCACCTATTGCCTTCGCTCTAGCTGGGATCACAGACATATACCAAGAAAGACTTATTTGTGTTTATTTTTATTTTGCCGGTACTGAGGTATGAGCTAAGCAGGCAATCTACCACTTGAGCCATGCCCCCGACTCTTTGCGCTTCAGTTTATTTTGGGGTAGAGTCTCACACTTTTGCTCTGGCTGGCCTAGGCTTCAATCCTCCTAACTATTGCCTCTCCTGTAGCTGGTTCAAGCCTGGCTTATTTGTTGAGAGGGGAGGCTCACTAATTATTTGCCCAGGCTGACATCAAACCATATCGTTAAAACATTCTTCCCCTTCTTCTCCTCTTTCTCCTCCTCCTCTTCTTTCTCCTCCTCCTTTTTTTCTGGGTTTTTGGACTTGGGATCTTTTGCTTGCTAGGCAGGCACACTACCACTCTAGTATAAATGTAGAGTGATTAAATAACTTTTCAGGTATAAAATTGCCAGCAAAACCCTCAATTCATTGCCGGTATTTCTGGAAAACAATAAACACCAATGTTCCATTTTATAGTGGAAGACCGAAGGTTTCAGTATGGTTCCCAACCTTGCCCTTCCCAGGGAAATTTGTGTCCTTGGCTTCTCACAGCTCCCATACAGCCAAGCAAAATAGGTCTGTAAGTAAAGGTTATTTTTAGGGCCATACTGGTGAGACGCTTGAACAACTGGTGAGATGCTTTGACACTTGAACAGTGTTTTCTTGTTATGGTCACCAGCCAGCGATGTAGCACTGGGTCCAACACTCCTTCCACATAGTTCTACTATGCCACACACAGACAACAGAGCCTCAGACCAGGATGAAAAATCTAGATGCCCACTGAGAGGACGGAACTATCATCAGAAGCAAAAGCTCCTCAGGTTCTTGTCCATGAAATCTGCTTTAGTCATAGCAGGTGGATTGTTCCATTGGGCTTTTTTAATTTTAATTTTTTTTTTGCCAGTTCTAGGGCTTGAACTCAGGGCCTGGATGCTGTCCATGAGCTTTTCTTTATGCCCTACTTCCAGCTTTTTGGAGGGAGGTGTGTAATTGAACATAAGAGGCTCACAGACTGCCTGGACTGGATTTGAACTGTGAGCCTTAGATCTCAGCCTCCTGAGTAATGAGGATTATAGGTGTGAGCCAGCAGTGCCTGGCTCTGTTGAACTTTTTGCAAAAGTGTCAGGAGCCGGCTATTGCCTCTGTGACTCCAAGAAACCACACAGTGTGGACAGGCAAGGGACTTCTTCCCATTGAAATGGGAGATACCCAGCATGTTCTCCTTCATGATGGCCTATCACGTGCCAGACACTGAAAACCCAACGCATTTTTCCCAAGTGAACATTTACAAAGCAGATGTGTATGGGGAAGAAGACGGCAGGGGAGATGGGGGAGGGCAGGGAAGGAACCTTCTTGTCTGTGGCTAATGAATACATGCTTGCCTGCACATTCCTGTCATTCTTCATCCTAACATGAGCTCCATCTCCCCACTTGCCTGTGTGTGGAGAAGGCTGGACTGGATTAGTGTATGTCTGTAGCCCCATACCTGCCTACAGGTAGACTAATCACATGCCTGCATCTTGTGCATGTTCTAATAGAGTAGAACCAACTGGCTCAGCACCCTAATGGGTTTAGGGCTGAGTCTAGCTGACCTGCTACTCAGTTTGCCCCAGGCTGTCTACTGAGTAGCCTTATTTTCTATGCGGCCTTTGATTAATATGACCCCCACTCTCTCCATGACTCTGTCTAGCCCCTCTGAGTCTGCCATGAACCTGTAAGAGACCTTCTCTACCCTGTACAGTTGCTTCCTTCTCATTCTTGCTGTGCTGGTGTCTGGACTGGGGTCCTCTGCCGAGATGCCTCATCGATTGTGAAGGATGCAATTAAGCCCCTTTCATGAACTTCAGGCAAGTGTTCTCATTCACAGACTGTGCAGCAGGGAAGAGAAAGGTCAGCGTGGAGTCTCATACTTGAACTTGCTCCTGTGGAATTTCATCTTCTGAATGTGCTAGATCCCACCCCTACCAGTCTCAGCCAGTTCTCCTGATGAGTTGGTACCTGTGGGGGCATGAGCAGAGCAAAGCCCCAGAGAGCTAAACCCTGGGGTTAACTAGTCTACAGAGAGGTAAGACAGGCAGAGCCTGGGCCCAGCGAGACAGTGGGCGAAGGAGATGCAGGTATAACAGGTATTTCAGCCTAGTCCCCCAAATTGGCTTTCAAAGGCCTCTGTAAAGCGTTAGCTGATGGTTCCAGGTTCAGCAGCATGGAGGTCTCGCTCTCTGAGCCCTTAGGGTGGAGGAGGGAAGGGAGGCTGAGCACTGGACCATGAGAGCTCCATGGAACAAGTCAAGTGCCACCTATCCCAAGTGTCTAGGCCATGTTGAGGCCTGTCAGCCTCTGGCTGCTGGGTGGATGTGGGAAGAAGCAGAGGCACATCCCTCCCCGGCCATTGCTGCCAGGATGGGCCTTAGTATCTGCTATATTGGCATTGATGGCGTCCATACGTCTATATTTAACCCTTAACTTCTTTTTGTGTCAGAGGGCATTCAAATGTGTGGCATCCTCAAGTCCATCTCCAATGGTCCATCTGTGACCCCTCCGACAGGTCATCTCCTACAGGAAAGGCCCTGTGGAGTGCAGGGGACTAAGCCTAGTACTGACAGGGATGACCCTGAGTGAAGAGATCATGACCATACCAAAGCAGGTTGCACTGCAACTTCCAGAAATGACAAGTGATCACTATACAACAGGTCCTGGACAGCAAGCTCAGCTAGGCTCTGTGACAGCAGGGCAGCAGGTGAAGTAACAGGGAAAACCACCTCCTTTCCTCTCTGGGGCTTTGTCTAAGCATCTCAGCAGAGCAGGGAAGGCAGGGACTGCAGCAGGGCCCACAGACACTAACTAGCACTGCAAGATGTGTGGAGCAGGAAGGTGATGGACAGCCTGGTAGAATGATGGTAGGAGTCTGTGGGGGACATTGTAATGTGTATATGCATGTATGCCCAATACACATGTGTATCTACAGCGTGCACATGTATTATACATGTAGATACATACTTCATATATATCATGTGGGTGTGCACGTTGCACACGCATACACAGTATGTTTACATATGTGTGGCATGTGCACGACCACATAAATATGTGTGCATGCATGTGTGTGTGTGTGTGTGTGTGTGTGTGTGTGTGTGTTGGCAGGTGGAATTAGAGCGAAGAAGAATCCTATCTCCTTCCTGGGCCTTGCAGGCTTTGTGGCCACTAAGAGCATGGCCTTCTGTACAGGGAAGTGAAGTGCATGGTGAGCTGTGGCAGAGGTTCCCAGTGCTTGCTTCTGTGGACACCTTAGGACTTGGGGGTGTGGCAACTGCAGGATGAACCTTGGGAGTGGCCAGCTCACTGAAGGGGAGGAGTCTCCAGCTGGAGGAAGCTGCTGTTTCAGTCAGGAGCCCCCACTCACCTCTCTACCCAGTTCTTGTAGCTGGGGATATCCTTGGCATAGAGCAGCTTGTTGGATGGTGAGTCTTTGCCCAGCCGGTGCTCTGACGTGGAGCAAGAGTCCATGAAGGTCTGAGCCACCACGGAGAGGCAGGCGTCTGTGATGCTGTTCTTATGGATGTCAAACACAAACTGTGGGTTCTTGATCATGTTGACCCAAAATCGTAGGGGGAGGCTGTATGGAGGGAATAGGCAGAGAGTAAGGAGAGGGGGCTGTCACATAGCTGGAGTGTTTATGGAGAAGGAGCAATGGTGAGGGAGCTCACAGCCCTGTGGGGTATGGGGTGTAGGGCAGGTCTGCTGGGCCCAATTTATCTCCTAGGCAACTGAAGATCAGCAGGGTTATACCTGAAGAGACATACAGCTGGGAGGTACTGGAGAGGACTTGGTACCCAGCTATGCCACAAGACTCAGCCTGTTGTATGGGAAGCAGCTAGAACGAGTACTATGGAGTAGAATTTCAGACCATCTACTCTACTCCCCACCACTTGCCTGGTGTCAGGAGCATCTGTTGACAAGCTATAGACAATCACCTGAAAGCTAGGCTTCCTATCTGACCCTGCTCCCTATGATGACCTGGCAGAAGTCAGACTTTTGCTTCCTGCCTGGTCCCATCCTGTCTAGAAAAGGCACAAAGGCTGACAGCCAGCACAGCTAAGTGATTCCAGGCTGCCTTGCCACACTCATCCCCTCATCAGCTTCATCAAGCCCCATCTTCTTCTCCCCACCTAACATCTGCCAGCCAGGACAGACATGCCAGCAAGTACATGCCCAGGAATGCATAGGGTTTGATGTAGGGTTAAGGCAGATGCCAAGCCTTCACAGAGGGCATATCTCTGGTGGTCTGTGCTTTAAAAACACACAGGTGTCTCTTAGCCGGGTGGAGCAGGGTTGTAGGTGAGGAAAAGCATCAGCAGACCCACAGGGAGATGATTGCACAGTGCGGTCCGGTCCTGTGGTCATTACCTGCTGCTGCAAAGGTCCCTGCACAGGAAGGAGCTGGCCTCTCCTCTCCAGGCTACCTTCTTCCTGCCCACTGTCTGCTCTGAGGCTCCCACCTAACTGGCTGAGATGCCCGTGAGAAGGGGGTGGTGTCCAGGAAAGGATTGCTTTATTCCCTTCCCTCTGGTTCTTCCTTTCCCGCCATTTTCCCTGATGTTTTATTGTTGTTTGGGAGGCTGTTCTCCCTGCTGGTGACAGTTATAATACCTGCATGTGTTTGGCTTGCCTCTTAGAACTTAAACCCTTTAAATTCCATTATTTCAATGTTCGGAGTCCAATATTTCTGTTCATGTTGTTTCTAACTGTCGTCAGTATGCTCCAACAGTAAGACTTGACAATCAACAAGTATTTATTAAGTCTCTAGAAAGAGAACAGTGCACTGAGACCTGACGGTGTTCAGTGGTACTTGTTCCACCGTTGGAGACCCACAACAGAAAAGGAAGGGAGAGGTCCATACATGGGTGAGGAGGGTCACACAGCTGCCTGGCCTTCCTGAGGGGAGAGAGAGACCATAGCTACTGGACTCAGAGTCCTGAATGAAGACTTATCTGCCCAGCTAGCAAAGTCCTCTGCCCTCATCTTCCTGTATTTCCTCATTCTGAAATCCATGCTGGGAACCCCATATTTGCTGTACTCCTCAATCCTTAAGCCAGTTGTGATGACAAAGAAGCATCAAACAGGAAAGCCAAAGCTCTATGAGGCTCCTCCTGTCTGATGAAATATTAGCATGTTATTAACATTAGAGGTGCCGCTAATCTTGGCTGATTGCAGCCACTCAGGCTAAATGAGCAGCAGATTTATTCAAAAGAGAACAGGTAGGGGACTAGGGAAGAAGTGAGTGGCAGAGGTGAGCGATACCTAGGCCAGGAATAGAGGAGCCATCTTTGATCACTCAGGGACAATGCACTCACATCAGTATTCAGATCTCATAATGCTTGAATGCATCTTGCTCAGGGTAGCAATGGGTCAGAGCCAGGGGTAGGGAAGTGTTCTCTGAGAGGAGAACTTGAACCAGGTGCTGCTACCCACTTCCTACCTATACCTGAGGACCTGAAAGCAATGATCACATGAGGCTCTGCTTCTCTCCCAAGGGATATGATACCCTGCAGAAGGGACAGGCCAAAGATATATAGCATAGATATCATGTAGGGGCCATTCCTGTAATTGGCTCCCAACAGCATGCTTCTGAGACGCATTAGCTGTCTCCCCTCAAGAGCAGAACAGGGTCTGGGAAGGTGGCTCAATGGTAGAGCGCTTGCCTTGCATGCCTGAGGCCCTGGGTTCGATTCCTCAGCACTACATAAGCAAAAAAGAAAAAAAGCTGGAAGTGGCGCTGTGGCTCAAGTGGTAGAGCGCTAGCCTTGAGCTGAAGAGCTGAGGGACAGCGCCCAGGCCCAGAGTTCAGGCCCCACGACTGGACCAAAAAAAAAAAAATTAAAAAAAAAAAGAGCAGAACAGCTCTTATATCTTGAAGCTTGGTGACATTCAAGAAGGAAGACTCATTGACAAGAGAAATAGACTGGGTGGGGACATACCCCTGGACAGCTCCCAAGTAATGTCAAGAAGAAGGGAACATTAAATGTCCCTATACTTATTGACAGGCCTAAGGGAAGGCTAGATCAGAAGGACTTACAAAAGATAAATGGCTTCTCTGAGTGCTGATATACTGAGTGGAAATTGGCCTAGGATTCCAACTACTGCAGAAAGGTTGGGAGAGCTCCACTGAAACGGGGTTCACCTCCAGCGAGCCCAGGTCTTCAGCATCAAGAGCCACTGTGAACCCTGCACCCCAGGCTCCTATCTCTTTAGAGAGGGCCTCCAGATGGAAGAGAAGTGAGGCCGGAGCACACCTCGTGAATGGCATTTCCACCCCTAGCCTGACGTCTGCCTCCTCTGTGCTGCGCTCTTGCCCCTGGGACTGCTTGTCAGGGCTCTTGCTTGCGCCCTGGAGCCTTGGCCAATCCTAGCAGGCATAGGCCTGGGTACCAGAACTACACTGATTTGGAAGAAAAGAGCTGAGGAAGAACAGCCAGAAGTTGAAGTGAAGTGAAGGCTATAGGGAGGTAAATCTGAATGGAATGGAATTAACATCAGCCAGTATTGCCCACGGTAGAACCCTGAAACAGAGGCCACATTGGCCCCACATCTCTTCAATATTCACTAAGCCCCATGTTGTACAATGTTTTCCTTCATGGGCTACATACTGATGCCTTGTGATTTCACCCTGAAAGCACTCACTCTCCACAAGAATGATGGGAGAGATGTTGGACATTATAAGGATAGAGGGGACTAAAGTGGACACACCTGAAGTGTCCTTGTCATTAGTACCTAGGAGACCCTGTAGTTTCCAGGGAAGGCAATTCAGTTATGGGCAGGTCTCTTCCCCAACCAGAGTTTGGAAAGCGTTTACTGGATAGAACAGAAGCATCCCTGTTCAGCCAGGTAACCCCCAGGTGTGCACCAAAACTCCATTCCTGACTCAACATGCAATGTGGTTCCTGCATAATGCTGTGGCACACAAGACATCCCCTATCAGAGCAGTTGTCTCTGTCTAGACAGCTGACTTCCTTTCTCATAGCCTTGCCTGCCAGCCTACTGAGGGCAGAGGCGTGTCTGACTTGTCTAGCACTCTCAGTGTCTCGCACATTTTCCCATACCCAGGAGGTACTTGGATGTGAAAGTAGCCTGGCTATGGCACTGACACATCAATTTTTCATTCACTGATCTAATTGAATAAATGTTAAATGACTGACTGATTGGAAGGGAAGACTGAAGAGACAGATTTGAGGAGGAAAGGGAGAAGTGAGCACAGAAGGATAGTGGGAGACAACAGGAGAGGGGCAGAGACTGAGTCTGTGCAGAGTACCAGTTGAGAAAGATGGAGGGTGGCCAGCTTGGGGTCCTGCCTCCCTACCTCTGGGGTTGGGTGGGCAGGTCACCTCTTCCTTCACTCACCAGTTGCTCTTCCAGGTATGGCGGACATGCGGGTCGTGAATGCCGTGCTTATCAGCCTGCTCATCTAGGAAGTCAAACATGTACTTGATGGCCAGGGGCAAGGCGGAGCCTCGGTGGGCTGTGCTGAAGATGGTCTCAAAGAGGTCATCTACGAACTTCTGCAGGGTGCCCTGTGGAGCAGACATTTTCAGACCCATGGGGATCTGAGGAGGAGTGTACAAAGCTGGCTCTAAGCAGGGGAGCGGAGGACGATGTGCATTCTGCCCTGCTCGAAGGAAACTAGAGAAGTCACGTGGACAGTAGATAGACCACTGACGACTGGGCCCCCATGAGCCTTCTGCCCGTCCCACGATTTGGTTTCACATGCTCTGGGGGCGTGGCTTTAGCACTTGTCACAAATGCTAATGAGCGCACACTTGGTCAGAGCAGACAAACACAATCTGCCAGTTCTGTGTGGGCATTAATCACACCAGCTAATGAACAGTTACTCACTTGGCTCTGCAGAGAGTTGAGCGAGCCCAGGCTCCTGAGAGAAAGGCTGAAATCACAGGCATGGGATGTCCCCAGCACCAGGATTAGAAATGGTGCCTGGAAAGTCACTGATGGAGCCCCAACATGCAGCCATATCTAGTGATGGTGGACAATACCCCAGGGAAGAAATGATTCTTTCAAAAGGCCTAGGGGAAAAGCTGCCTGGATGCAGTTGTGCCTTTGTCTGAGCAAGCATATGGAATAGGGATAGGAATAAAACCTCACATGGTGGGCCATGCTGCCATCTGGGTGGAATTTGCCTGGATCATCGGGTTGAGCTCTGTCTTGGGAAAGGCAATGCTGCCCATGGGTGGTTAATAGAGCAGGTAGGAACATAGTCACGAGGTATTGGCCAGCTTCAGCATTCACTATGGAGGCGTGAAACCCATAGGCTCCCTGCACCTTGTTTCCATGGCCCTCACATCCCCTACCTTTGTGGCCAGTAGCCGTGTCAGATAGATTTCAGACACCATCTTGCTCCCCCGGTCACCCTCCTTCTGGTCCCCATGCTCGTGGTTCTTCACGAGATGCCACATCTTGACTCCACTCTCCAGATCTGGGGTGATCATGGGTGTCCGAGACCGAAGGCTATCAGGGCTGCCCGTGTACCGGATCATGTTTTCTGCCAAGAGGAGGATCGCAAGCCAGCGGATGAGAGGTTACACAGCCTTGGGCTCAGGAAAGCACAACACACTCCTTACCCTACTCAAGGGCAAGCACTGACTCAAGGGCTGCCACTGGTCCCTAGTCTTAGTTTCACCCATTCCTTGGAACCTAGGTACCTCTCCTGTCCCCTCCTGGAAATTATCTTAGCTACCTCCACCCACTCAAGTCCTTCCTCCTGATGCCTCTGCTGTACTTCATGTTACGTCAACCCGTAATTATTCAATTTGTAAAAATACATGCTTGTACTTCTTTTACGCTTTTCTTTGTAAGCGTTTTCAAGTCCTGTGGTGCAATGTGCTCTGTGTAGCCAATTAAGGACACATGAAGAGCAAGAACCTGTCTCCCTTAATAAATGCTGTCTCGCTGAGAAAATGCTGGGACACCTGCTCACCTTCCTCCTCCCCTCTTGGCCTAGGCCAGTTTGTTCCACTTATTTGCAGAAACTCCTGCCAATATTTGTCAAGTGTGGTGAAAATGAAGGGAGCAAGCTGAGAACCATGGCCTGCTGTGAGCAGGCACCCTTTACGGTTTTTGTCTCTTTATGCTCAAACTTTGTCCTTTTTCTTTTTTTCTCCCACCCGCTTTGTCAGTATGAACACCAAAAGGCTTGGGGTGGGCAGGTGACTTCCCCCTCAAACATCCAGGTGCTGACAGACTAGGGAGCTCCCCCCACCCCCTCCATGGCTTCCACCTTACCCCCTACACTCTTATCCTTCCACCTCTGAGCTTTAGACCTGGACCTGCTCCATTGCTCCACTGCATAATAACCGTGTGACCTTTACCAGTCATTTAGCCTCTCTGCCTCTCATTTATAATTTACTAATCTGCATAATAGGGGGAAATAATAATTACTTAATTCACTGGATTGTTATCAACATGATGTGAGATAATGAGTTCCATAAAAGGAAAAACAACTTAGATACTGTCAGATACTCATGAAGGTTAGATCTGTTCCTGCTTATGGGTGAAGTTCAGGCTTGTGCATCACAGTTGCCAGCTAGAACCAAACTCCCCTCATTCCAGCCTGGCTCTCATCTCTGTCTGTTAGAATCTCTGCTCCTTGCTCTCTGGGTCTGATGACTCCAGCAGTGCTGGGTATCTCCCTGACATTTGATGGGGTCTTACCGTATTTACTCGCGGAGGTCCTGGAGACGGTGGAGTTGTTCACTGCATTATAGGCTGTCACCTGCTTGGATACTAAAGCCACCACAGCACCATCTGGTACCTACAGGGGAAAAAATTCTAAGGGCCCTAGGTACAGAAACTGCCATCCATGATATTAGGAGAAATCAGGATTATTCCTATGGGATTGATTAATTGATTATTTGATCCTAGGGGACAGTTAGCACCTTGCTAGAGAGCTTAGGGATGTTCTAGACTGTCACCTTTCCTTCTGATGAAATAAGACATGGATCTGAATTCTGAAGCTGCCTTCTATTTTGTGACTCATGAGTGTATTCTGGAAGATCTCTACCTTTATCTTCTCTATCATGAGGCTCCAGGGAGACCACAACCCAAGTGCCCAGGGGGACTTCTAAGAAAAGGTTTTTCCTTAGAGATTCTTCCCTGTACCGTGTAGAAAGCATATTTGTCAGCATCCTATCTCCAAGGAGTCCAGGGTCCCTGGCTGGGTGACCTCAGTTTCCCCTGGGCCAGCAAAGAACAAGGACTGTTGATGAGAAAGGATTGGGAGCCAGTGGCTCACACCTATAATCCTAGCCACTCAGAAGCCTAATATCTAAGGATCACAGTTCACAGCCATCCCAGCCAGACAAATCTAAGAGATGCTTATCTCCAATTAACCAGCACAAAGCCTGCAGTGGAAATGTGGCTCAAATGGTAGACTGCTAGCCTTGAGTGGCAAAAGCCAAGCAAGATCTCAAAGCAAAAAGAGTGGGTCGGGCCTTGGGATCTAGCCCTGCTGTGACCCTATAATTCCAGGCCTCAGACTGTTCCAGGGAGATGGCCATCTACGTAGCCAAGTCCTGTCTTCTCCATTCGCCTCACCTGGTAGTGGGCCACTGTATTGAGTCTCTTCCAGTCATTCTCAATCTTCGTGGTGATGTCTTCATCTTGCAGGATCATCCTTGCCCCACTTCCTTGTCGCCATTCTGTAGGGAGGGTGATGGCATCTCAGAGAGACTCCTTAAAGTCCCCTGTGTGAGAACTTGCAGGGTTACCTCAAGGATACATCCACAAAGAGACTAGGGCCCTTGCCCACAAGGACGGCTGCTGACACTGTCAATGCAGAGAGGCTTTGAGTTCTGTTCTAAGCCTAGTCCAAGAAACGACTTGACAAAAATGGGGATAAGATTACCCACCCTTTCCTGTCATGTGTGCCATGAGTGGCCACATCTGCAAGAAGCAGGTGTTCAGTATGCACTGGTTCAATGGATGAAGAACTTAACATAAAGCAAGTAGCCAATCCAAGATGGCATCGTCCCTGTGAATCCCATGCTGGCTGGATTGGAAGTAGGGAGCCAATGAAATACATGCTGCAGATTTATTTACTGGGTATCCATGTCCACTTCAGGAAAGCCTGTAAGTGGGTGGGTCATCCCTGGGAGGGTTACTGGGTAAACATGAATGGGCCATCCTCATGCCAAAAAATAACTCAGATCAACTGGAAAACCTATGCAACTTATTTTAATCTTGAGGTATATCTTTATATTCCTTTATCTTGTGAATGTAATGGACCCAAATATTTAACAACCCAGGAACTCATTGATAGATCAATGGGGAATAAGAGCCTCCTTCTCATAAGTCAGAAATCACTGCCCTACTTAGTACAAACCACATATGGATGAGGTACACATTCCAATGTTGAAATGGCCACATGTGCAAGTCCACATGCATAGCAGCTCTCCTGCGCACACACGTGTGTGTGCATGCACGCACACACATACCATTCTCATGAGCACACATCCCTCCAGAGGAAAAAACAGCCTGTTAAATTCATACACAACATGTGTTCTAGCCAAAAAGCCAGCAATCTGGTCTCCAGACAGCTCAGACTCTGTTCACTGGCTTGCAGCTGTTGATGCTTTTGCACCATGCCCAGAGCAATGGGATAGCTCAGAGTGTCGGTAGGTAGGGGCACGAGTCACCTAACAGCCCTTGTCCAACTGGCTAGGAATGTTTTCCCATTGCCCACAGAGGTCCATATTCCAATCCTCCATTGCAGTTGCTTCCCCCACAAGGCCAGGCTGTGGGTCCCCAACAGGCCTTATTGTGCAGCATAAAAAAGCACTGATTCCTCCCTGTGTTGTGCATGTTCTGGCCCAGAAGGGAGCAGCTTGTTCTGAGGAGAAATAGAGATGCTCCTGATATCCAAGTCCTTGGTTCTGAGGTCCCCTGGGGCCTCCCTGTAGCTTGGTTTATTGCCAAGCCCAGAGTGGAGGAGGCTCAAAGGAATGGAAGCATAATGGAGCAGAGAAGTCTCTGGGGATGCCTGTCCTCATCCTGCTAGTGGCACAGCTGGAATTATGTGTGACCATTTGGACCTCAGGTAGGCAGGCAGGGTAATGGGCAGCAGGGAAACACTCCACCAGAGCACCTGGTAGCTGGTGATTTTGCCTATCATGGGGCTACACATCTCTTTTTGCTATGTTTTTAAAACTACACATAGGTCTGCATGCACACATGCCAAAGGAAGACACTGCTAGCATCTGGCATTTACTGCAGACACTTCTGCTGAGCAGCAGGCAGTGGGTCTCTCCTGTTTGTGCAGTGGATGAGTGGCCCCTTGTTAAGTCCTGAGGCTGCATTGGATGAAGCCCAGCAGTAGGACATGATACAGAAGATGGCCAGTACTCTACACTTCTCTTACTACTGGTAGAGCCCTTGGATGTCTTGTTCAGTGACTAGCCATGGGGCTTACCAGGACTAGATGAAACTAGTGGCAACCAAGGACCAGCTCTCTACTTTAGCAACCACACTGGCTGATGGAATTTCATCAATCTCAATGAGATCTGAGCCATGATTGCAAGTAACTGGTTGTGGATCCCCAAAGCAGGACTTCCATGTTGTATAAATCCCCTCAGGGTGTTCAGCGCACAACCTCTAGGGCTGTACTCAGCAACTTCAGCTGAGTCAGGTCCAGCAGTTATGTAAGCAAGTGGGAATCAGTCTACATTCATGTCCTCATTCTAGAAAGTAGGGCAGAAGATGGCCATTTCTCCCCCAGGCAGCTGCAGCAGGACCGATTGACCTTGGAGTATGAAATGGATGCTGCTAGATACCTAAAGCTGGGCAAACCTGATGCTCAGAGGATAGGAAACACGTGTTTATTCAGTGAGGGAACGAATACATGACAGAATGTGACAGGGTGGTGGTGGCCTATTCTGCATTTAATAAAAAGAAGTCAGAGCTGTAAAGTTTATGGCCCATGGCAGGCAGACAGTGAGCTACAATCAGAGCTGTGAGCTACTCCTAGTAGCCACCTGGGTAAAACAAGGGATGAGTAGAGCTCAGAGGCACAACCAGGCACTTCCATTGGCAGATATATTGTCTGTTCCTCCTGTTTAACCAGGGAAATAAAAAACAGGTCGGAAAGACAGACCTAGAGGTCATCATACCAAGCCACTGCTCATTACACTAAGATCAGAGAAGTTCTCTTCCATGGCTTTTCCTAGGTTCCCTTTGGGGCTGGATACTGGACCAAGTCATCAGTATACAAAAGTCCTGGGCTTCTAGGCAGGAGACTCTTTGGCATTTGTACGCCCCATCCAAGCTTCCTAAATACACCTTCTCTCAGACCCACCACAGGAGGCTGAAGCATCAGCCTCCTGATGAGAGAGGAGGCAGATGGCCCATCGCTCTTGTCAGAGCCGTGAAAATCCACCTTTAAAACATGGAACCTACTTCCCAGCCAGTGACTCTGTTTGGCTCTAGCTGCCCTTACTTACTTTGAGCCCTTCAAGGTGGTTCTGTCTGAATGCCACTACAGCCCCAACTCTGTGGTGAAACAGGAATCTGTGGGAGATGCACACAGGTATGTCCATGCTCTCTCTCTCTCTCTCTCTCTCTCTCTCTCTCTCTCTCTCTCTCTCTCTCTCTCTCTCTCCCTCGCGCTCTCTCTCTCCCCCTCATATATATGTGTGTATATATATATATATATATGTATATGGCTATCTATCTATCTATCTATCTATCTATCTTTGACACCTAGAGATCTAGCAGGGACCAAGGAGGTTCAGGACCTCCACATCCTCAAAACTCCAGACACCTAGCAGGAACCACAGAAGTGAAAAAGCTAAGGGACAGCAAGCAGGCCCTGAGTTCTCTCTCTCTCCCTCCCTCTCTCCCTCTCTCCCTCTCTCTCCCTCTCTCTCTCTCTCTCTCTCATTCTCTCTCTCTCTCTCTCTCACACACACACACATACACACACACACACACACACACACACACACACACACACACACACACACACACACACGAACCATGAAACTTGATACTAAAATTCCTAAGTAGAAGTGCAACATCTGTCTTAAAGGCACTAGGTCTTTTTAAACTGAAGAACCCTGTTCTATGTGAATGGCTGGCACAGGACAGGTGGAGGCGACCCCAGAGCCCCACTAAAGCTCAATAGATACTGAGTGTGGCATCACTTTAGGCTGTCTATTGGGTGAAAGAAGAGTTGAAAAGGCAAGTGGGGGCAGTGGGAGGAGGAAAGGTGACCCCCCACCTTCACATGCATGGCACAGGAGAAAATGTGACTAGGTCCTCTCTCCAGCAACTCCGCCCAGCAGCCCAGTACCCCGCTCCAGGCACAGGGCACAAAGGACAGGCACACTCACAATCCAATTTGTTACACCTTCCACCTTCCAGGGAGAGAATGAGGTGAAGTAAAAAAGAAGAAGAAATCCCATTATCTTTATCTGCCCTTCCCATCAGGCACAGCGGAAAATGCAAACCGGGAGACAGCTGCTGTGAACTCTTTATATTTCACTCAGGAGATAGTGTATCTTTTTATTGCATACAGGAATTACTTATTTGAAAAAATATATCCTTTCAGCGTGACCTGAGCAGCAAGACAGAGAAAGAGTGGGAGGGGGCGCTGGCAATGGATAGAATATTTGCATGAAACCGGAGGAATCTGGAGGTTGTGGACTGTGGTAGAGGGACAAAAAAAGCAGACTGTGAAGGAAATGAGAGTCCTCTCCACCGCCTTGCTGTGTGATCTGGGCCCAGCTTCTCTGAGCTACGTTCTACCTGTGTAAGAGAGTAGACTGTTGCCAATGATTTCTTCTAGAAAATAAAGGGAGGAGACAAAAGAAATCCCTTATCTCAGAGAGAAAAATGTCCTGGCTCTGCTGCTAACCTCAGAACTGACAAACATCTCCTGATACCTTGGCATGGCAATGTCTGGCAGGGCGTTTGCCACAAGTGGGCTCTTATATAGCTGATGGAGGAGCTGAGTGATGTGAGTACCTGCCCAGATACCTGTGGGGAGAAAGGGGTATACACTTGAGAATGGCTCAGATAGGCAGAGTGGGTTGCCACTTGGATACTATCACTGAAATTACTGTCTGAAGTTGCACGGTCAATTCCTTAAACTATCACCACTGCCCTCTGTAAACACATAGATAGATAGATAGATAGATAGATAGATAGATAGATAGATTCTGTTTATTTTTATTTTATTTTTTTGCTGGTGCTGGGGCTTGAACTCTGAGCCTGTATGTTGTCCCTGAACCTCCTTTTGCTCAAGGCTAGCACTCTACCATTTGAGCCACAGTGCTACTTCCAGCTTTTTCTGTTTATGTGTTACTAAGGAATCGAACCCAGGGCTTCATGCATGCTACGCAAGCACTCTACCCACTAAGATACATTCCCAGCCTGATAGATTCTGTTTAGATAGATAATGTCTAGATAGACAGACAAATGATATATGGTACATATAAATAGCTAATGTATAGATAGTTACATAGGTAGATAAATACAGTCTAGAGATGGAAAATGTCTAGATAGAAAGATGATAAATGATAAATATAAATAATCTATAGATAGATATAGATAGATCATAGATACTCTTCAACTTAAAAAAGGAGTTATGTCCTGATAAACGTAAATTGAGACTATGATATATTAAAAATGCATTTACCCTGTAGAGATGATCAATTTGCCTAGCCTAGCCTACCTTGCATTAACCTATGAATAGGCAAAATTATGAACACTGCACTGGAGGTGTAAAACACAAAGATTGTCAGGTGTATTCTTGCACCACAGTAGCCATCCATTGGTTCTGTCTGCCTGAAGGACCCTGCCTGGCACAGTTCTCTTTGGACAGTGCCTGGAAAAGTCTGGGACAGGGTGGGAGCGGGCTGGGAGAATGGCAGTCCAAGCAGCAATGAATGGAGATGCAGGAGGTTCAGCGAAGGAGTTGCTGTCCAGGGTCACTTGAGGATGAAAGGAGGAGCCAAAACCATGCCAAGTAGACAGGGGGCTGAGGCTGGGTTTCCGTGGACCTCTGACAGGCAGGATTTAGACTGCATCCTTCTGAGATGGCCTGGTTATCCTGCTTTTCGAGGGGCTGGGCATCAGGATCCCAGTGCATCAGGAGGGGGAGGCGGCATCTGCCAGATGCAATCTGGTGCAGGAGGAGGAGGAACTAAGGGGAAGATTAAGTGGGGGGGATGGGAGGATGGGAAGTGGGGAGATGAAAGGGGAGGTGAAGGGGGAGGTGGGGGATGGGTAGGTTTTGGCTGTCTTACCTCTGTCCAATACAAAGCTGAGGAGGGTTTGTGTCTGCCTGCCAGGTGGCCCTTGGCATAGATTAATTTGTAGCAATAATCACCCCTTCATTTGTAAATTAAATTAGGCTTTTCAAGCACTTTTACCTTCATGGAAGAAACCACTTGTCCTGCCTCCTTCTCCCCATGGGACCAGGCGCATTAGTGTGCAGAGAGGCATTGAGACCCAGAGGAAGCCCCTTTTCTTTGCTATGCAACCACACAGAAAGAGGCCCAAGAGATTGGAGGCAGCTCCAAATTCTGGCTTCAGTAGGAAAAAAGGAAGTTCTGAGAAGAGCACCTAGCATGATTGACAGGGGGTGGGGCTCCAAGAAACACAGCCCAAGCCACTACCCCACTGGAGCAGGCCCTGAGTGCCCACTGTTGAGCCTCCCTTTGGCTCTTCCCCTTTACCCATTTCTGCTCTTGGCCTTGCATCACCTCCAGAGCCCAGACTGCACTAGCACTGCTCCGTGCCCTCGGACACTCTGTCACTGGAAACTTGCTCTGCCTAGCAGGCAGGTGGCTTTTCCCTGGCTGTGTGGCCTTCAGCTTGGGACAGTGGCCACTTTCCGGCTGGCCCTGGTGGCTCAGCAGAGCTCTAGGGCTTGCTTGCCTCCCTGTGATTGGTAAGAAGTGGTGGTGACCCCTTTAGATGCTGTGACTCAGGACTGTGACTGCAGACTGTATTGCATCTTCACTGAAGACTTTGTTTCGCTGGGTTTGGGACACTTCTTGCCAGGTATAGTAGTGCATGTCTGTTGTCCCAACTACTACAGAGGCAGAGATAGGAAGATCACTTGTTCAAGATCCAGCTTGAGCGAAAGCGCAAGATCTCATCTTAAAAAAAGTTCTAAAAGTAAGAGGACGAGGGATGTGGCTCAAGTTAAGAGTGCCCGTCTAACAAGCAAGAGGCCTCAAATTTAAGACCTAGTAAAACAAAAGAATAGTAACCATAACAACAGCAATAAGAACATCAACAACAAAAAGGGCCGTCCATTTCTCTGAGCTTTGGGGGAGGGGAATGTCACGGAACACTAATTCTTAACCTTCCTGAGCTCCGTTAGGTTTCAAAGCCCTCTCAGCCTTCAGCAATTGTCCACTCCTCATCTGCCCTTCCTTGTTTGCAGAGAGGCTGTTCCTAAGGAACAACTGAGCCACGGTTCTTCAAGTGGTGCCACAGGGGGCCAGCCACTGCCCACCCACCATGGGAAGTCATGCCAGTGGAGGAGATGAAAATTCCCTCTAGATTTGAGCAAACAGCATAGAGGCCCATCTGTCTTGGGTGGCTTAGCTGAAGCCAGCTTAGAGGCCAGATGGATGGGCCCAAGGCCTTGGGGGGGGGGTCTTTCCACCCCATGTTGCCAGAAATCAATGCCCTCTGCGTACCCAGCATCCACAAACAGGCATATGTGGCATCCTTAGCAGCATTATTCTCATAATCATTTACAGCAGCTGATATCCGCGGAGTGTGCGCCATGAGCCAGATTCCGCATGAAAGAGGCTGTTAATGCATCATTCCACCCAGTTCTTACTACCTGGCATGTGCTATTATTATCTCCATGTTATAGACAAGGAAACCAAGGCACAGAAAGATAATTTAGCCAAGGTCACACAGCTAGGACCTGGTGACACCAGGACTTGCATTCAGGTGATATCTGACACTGACTCCCAGTGCTGGAAATAACTCTCTTCCCCCTGGCCTCTTCAGAATACCCTCCTCCCACAGGAGGACTCCCCTGGACAGCATCCTGACCCTTAGGCAATGCATGACTGGATGTAAGCACAGCTCTTCCTAGGTGGCATGCCCTTGTTTATATAGGTTATGCCATCTATTCATGGAACATTCAAGTACAATGTCATCCTGCTCACCAGCAGGGTGTCACCTCTCATTTTTCCCTATTCTTTTTCTCCATCCTCTATGGTTGACCCAGATCCCTGGAGCCATAGACACTCAGCAAAAAATTACAGGCACTGAACAGAGGGAGGGGAAGAGCCTGGGGGCCAACAAAGGCAGTGGCAAGACCTTGGCCACAGGGACTTAGAGGGCAGGTTTTGCCTTTAGATCCCTTCTGTTACTTGGATATTTCACCTGTACACTCACGCCCCAGTCCCTCTGTGAATCCCAAAGGCATCATAAGCAGGCCAGATCACCAAGAGGCAGCTAGGTGACTCTCCTCTGCTCATTCCTCTGGTCAATTCCAAGCCAGCCAAGAAGGCAAAACCTTGGGGCTCCTTGCCATGGGTTCCTAGCATGCCTGATCTTATCTACTGATGCTCATCTTCTGCTCCTTGCTCCCTAGCTCTGCCTGCTAATGATCCAAGAAGAGACAGGGACAGCCCTGCTGATGGCTTACTCACCCAGATCCATGTCTGCAGCCTTGGGCCGATGGGAGCAGGGCACATTCTTAAAGATGGCATCCAGAATCTTCTCCTTCACCTGAGTGATGGTGTCACAGTTGAGGATCTTCACTGGGACCTCAGGGCTGTTGGCATTGTCAGGGCTGACACAGCTTAGGACCTGGGTATGGTGAGAAGTCAAATGGGTGAAGGCTGAAGGAAGGGTGCTACAAGCCTAGCACCATCTTGGCTTCTATCCTGAATGCCTCCTCCTCTCCAGGATGGGCTGGGGGAGGGGAGAGGTTACTCAGAACATCTGTGTCCCCAACAGGCTGCCTTAGCTTCTCCTGTCCAGACCAGCAGGATACAACCAGGCTTTAATATCACTACAGATGTATGAGTAGCTCACTTCATTTCAAACATCACTGAAGTACCAAAAGAATCCAGGTCTCAGCCTGTGGAGAGAATGGGAGGATGGGCATTCTACCACAGAGTAGCCACTGGTGTAGTAGGTACCATCTTGGCAGTTCACGAGACCCTGGCTCCCTTCAGGACCTTGCTCCATTTCCATTTCTGCCTTTCTTCTCGTCCCCCTCTCCCCATACCCATACACTTCCTTAGTACTAATGGGAATCTGGCTCCTGTCTCAAAAGATTTAATAGCTTTGATTTGGGGGAGGGTGGAGGTTCTAAACGGATGAGAAGTTGAAGGATTTTTAAGAAGCGGAATATATATGCATATATTTTAAGAGGTGCCCTTTACGTGGTTTGGCAATATAAGAGCTCTGTAACATTAACAAATTCAATAAAAAGCAAATACAGGGATTTTAAATGGGAAAGTTGCCCTTTCAACACATTTAGGTTCAGGGCTCCTGAAATGCTTTCCCAGCTGTGAGCTTTAAGTCCACCCCCCCCCCCCCCCCCGCGCTTAGGGTCCAGCTCATTGAAGAACCTGTTTCTCTTTTTTCAAATGAGTTTGAAAAGTTAAAAACTCTGCTTCACCAAACTTTTTTTTTTCTCTAAAAAGTTCTGGACTTTTCTTCCTCTGCCATTCTCAGAGGCTGGCTCTATCTACATTGATGGTTCACTGCTTGGATTCCTGGATGGAGCCTCCTGGTGCCAGGTGAGGAGTGCATGGTACACGAATAAATGAGACATAAAACCAGGCAGAGAGGTTGGGATCTCCCAGGGCGATGGCAGCCAGGTGCCCCACCATTCTGGTCTCCAGATTTCCCCCTTTGCCCCTGCAGCCTGAGCCCTGTACATGCCTCTCTCCTCCTCCCTCCCGGAACTAGGTCCCAATGGCTTCATCTGGCTTGCAAAGCCAGACACCAGCCCCCTCCCCGACCCCTCCATGTGGTGGCAATCAGAGTCCTGGCTCTGGACGCCTGCCTTTCATTAGCAACTAGCTCAAATGAGAACATGCTTATTCCATTAGGAAGAAGAAAAAAAAATCCCCTAAATCTATAAAAACCAAACTCACCCTCCAAATGCCCTAAACTAAAAAGGATGGAGGCTTTCTCCCAGCCACTCCTCCCCTTCCCCATCCCTCTCTCCTGCTCAGTGGCCAAGCAGAGCCGGATCCTTCCTCTTTCGGTCTTGTCCTCCAGACTTTCTTTTCTGTCCTATCTTTTGGGCCGGGTGGTGGATCAGTCCAAGATCTAGCCTCAGTGGAACTAATCATTCAACAATTAGGAGGTACATTAGTGTCTCCTAGAGCCTCTCAAAGCCCCTCTGTGGGCAATCCCTCCTGACCAGGACAAGGATTACTGGTCACTCCCAAAGTGATTGGGGCTCTTCCAGCCACTGTAGAATCCCAAACTTCTCTTGTTTGTATCTAGTGAGTCATCTCAAGTCTGCTGGTACCCTGCCTGCCAGCATGCAGCATTCCTCCTTCGCCTCCTCACTGGATGGGGTGCACCCTCGTCCACATATAGAAACATTCATATAGAAACATTCTTCTTCAGGCCCGAAGCCAGCTAGTACATATCCCAGTTTCCCTGTCTTTCCCTGGTACAGTTTCTTCTCACTTTCCTTCCTATACATCTCCACTTTCCTGACCCTCTCCAATGTCTTGCATTCTTGCTCAAGTCACAAAACCACCTGGGGGGCAGTAGCAATCTTTTAGCCTCTGGAATAAAGGCTACTGCAACTTGGGGACAAGCATGATCAGACCTCATTGTGTCGCACTTGATATGGAGGATGCAGATGACAAGGGAAAGAAAGGGATGGGACTGGGGACATTTTATCCCAGTTACTTGGGAGACAGAGACTGAGAGGATCAGAAGGAGATCAGCCCAGGGAAACAGTGAGACCTTCATCCTAATCCTGGGTGGAGAGGCATACATTATAATCCCAGATACACAGCAAGCCTATGATCAGAGGCCAGTCAAAAAAAAAATAAACCAAGTAAAAAGGACTAGGGTTGTAGCTCAAATAGTCAAGTGCCTATCTAGCAAATAGGAGGTCCTGAGTTCAAACCCCAGTACAATAACTAATTAACTAACTAACTAACTAAATCTGCTCAGGCATCTGTTTTTGGAAGGAGTTTTCCCTCTTTTAGTTTGATCTTCTAATTCTCCTCTGGCAGACAGTGGAAGATTGAGAGGAGGCAGAGGCTTCACTCACAGCCTGGGCCTACGAGTCCTCAGGGAGCATTCTATTCAGATATCTGTTGGGATTTCCATCATTCTCAGAAGCCAGATATAACTGGCAGATCATGTTTGCAGCCTTCTAGCCAGGCAGGCAAGGCTGACTTTGTTCTGAGGTGAGAATCATCTTCTGACTGGGCTGTGGGTTCGGGGATTCACCTCTTGCTTAGAGCAGTTGGATGGTCTATGAGCCTCTCTTTCTCCCAGTTCTGCATGCTTGTCCCCCTTCTGGCCCCATTTCCTGATTATTTTGTTTTATTTCCACTTGTTCCCTGACTTCTGGCTCCCTGGCTGTCTTTCTTGACTCGCTTCCCAGTTTTTATCAAAGCTTCTCATCCCTCCTTCTACTTCCACTCCTCTTTGGGAGTAAAAAAGACCCAGTGGATAATTATAATGGTGTCGTAAAAGCCTGAGTGTGAGCTCACCGGCCTGGAGAGACAGCAGGTAGCCAGCAAGGCTATAGGCAGCCATGCTGGGAAGAGGTGAAAGGGGCAATGTGAACCAGCATGAGTAAACCCTTGTCCTGGCTCCCCGCTGTGCATCTGGCCCCATTCAGTCCTCAAGACTGGTGAGAAGCAGAGGCAGAACTCAGACAGGTCAAGGTCTGTCTGATTCCAAACCTGTGTTCTGAAAGACAGCTCCACAGTCTCCCAGGGAAATCTTTGTGATGAGGAGAGGGAATCTGGCCTTGACAGAGGGCATTACATGTTCCTTGGATGATGCCCTACATTCTGGCCTCCCATCACACAGCACTGCCATGGTTGTATTTGAACCTCGATTCGTGGGTAAGTACAGGCTTCACAGTGATGAGGAACCTTTTCTAGTTTCCTTGTACTCCCTACCTGTGTAGATTTTCCATCCAGGTAAGCTCATCTGAGACAGTCAGTCTTACTGGCCAGGGGCCTTGACCCTGTCTGGGACCACACCAGTTAACCAGCTGATGTGCTCATCAGAAGTGGCTCAGACTGCCAGATGCCCTGGTACATGATCCATTGGAAGCCTGGGGTGAGGGGCCATGGGAGAGCACCTGGCAGCATCCATGCATGGGAAAGCTGAAGAGGCTCCTCTTATACCATCCCCTCTATAGACCAAAGCCTGTTTGTCAGAGCCTCAGGGCAGCAGCAAGGGGGCTTACCAGAGTCTTGTACTCGATCTGCTGCCTGATGAGCTTGTCCTCGCTCAGGGAGTAGCGGGCTTCTCCTGTGATGGCATCGATGGGGCCCTTCTCCATCTGCTGCTTGATGGCACAGAACAGGGAGAAGAGGGGCTCCCCGGCACACTCCTGGATGGGAGAAGAAACAAGATGGAAGAACTCTGGGATGGCAGGTGTGCACAGCCCACCTCGCTGTCCCCTGCTTTCCTGTGCCTCCTGGGATGCTCTTTCTGTTGGTGTCACCTGCTTTTCCATTCAATTTTCTAGTTCCCTCTTCTGTAAGTTTTTACGCCTCAGATCTGCATATGTCTTGGTCTTTGGACAGAGGCTTTCCCCATATTCGGCCCTTTCCTACCACTTGCACAGAGCCAGTTAGCTCTTCCTCCCTGTCTCCCAGCCTCCTCTGCTCCTTCTCCCATCCCCACACCATCCTGTCCTTTCAGAGTCCCATCAAGAGGCAGAGGTTGGCCATTTGTGCCATGAGCTCCTTAGACAGCGAGTTAATAATCAGAAGCCCAGAGCTCAACCCCGTCCAGGCTTATGTCCCACATCAGGCTTGGGATTCTTATCGGCTTCTGTCAGCCTGGATGTTGGTGATGCGAGAGGTCTGAAGGCTACTAATAGGTGAATCATTTTTAGCTTAAACTAAGAGTTTAGCTTTGGTGGCCATGAAGGACCCTTTAAGAGGCTCATCTAATCCTAATGTGGGAGAAATCAGCCATGGGCACCATATCTCTGAAATGATAACTGAATGTGGAGCTCTCTCCTGAGATAGTGCATGACCAAGGACAATATCATTCCTTCTGGACTTGGGAGGGCACAGAGAAAAATAGGGCAGGCCGGGTTGACCAAAGGCTTGTGTCAGAGCAGGGTAAACACAGCAGGGTCCGAAGAACCCCACACTCCATCCTACCTTGAGGAACTTGTAGAGGAGGAAGGTGAACCAATTGGTCAACATCTTCTCAGCCACAGACTCTGTCCTGTCACCAGGCACGGCAGGAACAAGTAGACAAAGGTCAAGAAAGAAGCATTAGGTCAGAGACCAGGGCTGAGCAGGGCAGGGCAAGGGCAAGAGTCTACCACCATCATGTTGCTGTAGCCCTTGGATCAGATCTTGAGATCCCACAGCACAGGAGAGTTTCCTGGTCTCCTTGGCCATCCACACACTCCCCTGCCCCTCACTGATGAGGAGGTTTTCCTGTGAAGCTGGGGAAGGACATGTTGAGCCTTGAGTTCCAATCACTGGTGGGATTTTCCTGGGCTCTCTTGGAGCTGTGTGCCCCAAAGCACTGTATGATGACACCAGTTCTCTTCACCTACATGGTCTAGTGTGGCAGCCACTCACCACACACAGTTACTGAGCACATAAAATGCACCCCCTGCATCTGAGGAACTGAAGTTGCTTATCTTACTTATGCTAATGAATTTAGATATAGATCATCCCTAAGGATGGTCAGTCTTCAATTAGTCAGTATGGCTTTAGGAAACTTCATGAAAGGAGAGAGTCAATTGGCAGCCTGGGGACAAGCATGACAGAAAGACCAGACAATCCAAATAGTGCCTACAGCCCAAGCTAAAGAGTCCTAACACTGACTCCTGGAGAGCTAGAGCCCTCACTCAGCCCAAAAGACACTGAAAGCATCCTACTCCATATTAAAGTTTCCACTACTTTGGAATCTTCCCTTGGAAATCTTCTAAGGAAATCTGCCACAACAGGAAGTTTCTTCTTGAGTCTAACATGCATCTTTCATAACACAACTAAGGCCTACTCATTATTTTGGAAGCAAAGATTTTCAAAAGACTTCTCTAAGCTTCCATTTAGAGAAAACAAATTGCATTGAAACTTGTACTGCGTGTATTACCAGCTCCAGAAAGCAACTAGAAATCCAGTTACAGTTGCTAGATAATACTAAGAACTAAAATCCACGGCACCTGAACAGCTGCTGGCATCAAGTGAAGTTAGGAGGGGAAAAAGAAGGAAAACTGTTTAAAGGAGGGGGCAGCCAGGGGCAAGAAGAAGAGACAGACAGAAGTGGAAAAGGCAGAAGGAGCCGATGCGTTTGGGGGATTATGGGTCAGAAACAAAAGGGGAGACAGAGACCCAAAGTGCAACCACAAGACCATGCCGGGAAACTGTTAGTGGGAGTCCTGATGGGTGGCATCAGCAACCCTAGAATTATGCCAGCAGTTGTCTGTGTGGTGAAAGGAAAACAAAAATCAACACAATCTACCTTGCTGTTTCCAGAGCTGCAGGACGGTGCCTCTAAGCAGCAGCCTTCTGTGGCTGTGCAGGTAAGCGTCTGTTGCTTTGGGAAGCAGCCAGAAGCAAACACTCCTAAAAGCCAGGTCTAAGCACCAGCCCTGCCTCAGACCCAGAGACCAGGGGAGGAAGCTGGGTGACAGGATGGAGTGGTGTGGACAGAGGGCTTCGCCTGGGGCTTTCTAACTTCAGATGTGCTAGAGACAATGAGTTAAAATATCCTGGAGGAGCTGGTCATGGGGGACTCACACCTGTAAGACTAGCTATTGAGGAGGCTGAGATCTGAAGATCATCGTTGCAGCCAGCTCAGACAGGAAAGTTGATGAGACTCTTATCTACAATTATCTACCAAAAAGCTGAAAGTGGAGTTGTGGCTTAAGTGATAGAGTACCAACCTTGAGCAAAAATACTAAGGACAGCACCTAGGCCTTGATATGTGTCTAATGTGTGTCTCTCCCAATGGACACACACATTCATAGTGGCTCATGTCTATAATCTTAGTTACTCAGGAGGCTGATCATAGTTCAAAGCCAGCATGGGTGGGAAAGTCTGTGAGACTCTTATCTCCAATTAACTACCAAAATGTCTGGAAGTGGTAGAGCACGCTAGCCTTGAGCCAAAAAGCTCAAGGACAGCTTATTCAAGCCCTAGGACCAACACACACACACACACACACACACACACACACACACACACACACACACACACACACACATACACACACACACTCACACTCATCCTGGAGGAGAAATGGCCTCTCTTCCCAGGGAGAAGGATGGTATAAAAGCACCTCTTTCGCATAGGGCCAAAGCCATGGGTCTGGCTGTGTCCACATTGACTTTGCAGGTTACAGCAGTATAGGGGAGGAAGCATCCAGCTTCATGGAATAATGGATCCTGGACCCACTCAGAGCCTATAGTGAGGGCCAGGAGATAGTCATTGGGCTTGGGCTACGTGAGTCAGTCATCAGTAAAAGACTTTCATTGGTTTTGTCTCCAAGTTTACTGTACATGCAAATCACCTAGGTTCCTTGTTAAACAGCAGATTCTGATTCAGTGGGTCTAGGGTGAGGGGACCTGAGCTTCTGCATTTCTTCCTTTCTTTCTTTTTTCTTTATTACTGTGCCTCCTCCTGATTTCTGGTACTCTACATGATCAATGGAGTTTCTCTAGTAACAAACTATAGAAATGATCCCCAAAAGTAAAGTCTTGCTTCTGCATTTCTAACAAGCTCCCAGATGCTGCCGGCAGTATGAAGCTGTGGGTTCTCTCCCAATACCAGCTCTGCCTTAGATGAGGCCAGGGATAGTCTAGATCTAGCTTCTACTAGGGAAGTCTAGTCCAAAGTAAGGGAGTGGAGGAATAGACAGGGACGATGCCAAAGCAAACACAGAGGTATGTGGAAAATAACACGGTGATCTAAGGGCCAGGGCTGAGCTCTGCCTGTGATAAGCAGAACCTTCTAGATGGACTTGCAACAGCCCAGCCCCCTGCAGGGTAGTCCCTTGCCCTTAGGGGGCATAGCTGCTCTTCCTGAAGCCTGCCTTGGTTTCCCTGGCTGGCACAGGGAGTTCACCAGCCTCACCTCCGGAGCAGCAGCTTGGGGTGGTTCTTGCTCTCCAGGTTCTTGTCGATGAGGTCAGCCAGCAGCTGCTTGAGCACGTCGGTGGCATACTCCAGCTTGCTCTGCAGCACAGTCATGATGAGCGAGGCCACATTGCCCCGATCACGCATGGAGAAGCTACGCTGAGACTCGAGCGTGCGGATGAAGGACAGCAGGAACACCTTGTTGTTGATGAGCTGGGCGAAGAGCTTCAGGCCTTTCTCCACACGTTCCTGCCGGTAGCCCGGGACCTGTAGAGAAATCAGAGGTCCTGAGCACCCAGCAACCTCCACACAGGATGGCCAAGCCTCCCAGCCCACCCCTCACCCATGACTCCGGCACAACCCATCTGGATAATGCTTACCCAGTCCTTCTCAGGAACTGGGTACTACCCAGCATCTACTTAACCTTGATCATCCTCATGACATGCGTCATTACCTCCAGTTTAGGGAAGACTCAGCACAGAGAGAACTACCCAGATTTCCTAAGCAGCAACTCTGAGGTTTCTACCACCTTTGCCCTAATGGTAATGCACAGCCTGTATTCAGGAAGCCATTCCCAGCTGCCAGGGGAGCTCCAGGAGGTCAGGCACTGTGGCTTGCATCTTTTGTTGAGCTATTCAGAGCCAGGGCCTCTGTAGACACGCAAGTGGGCTGAATCAGGATTGCTGGCTTCCACATAGCTTCTGATTTGTTTGCTGGGCAACCTTGTGAGTAAGCCTCTTTACTTCTCTGGAGCCTAAATTTACTCATCCAAAAAAAGTGAAAGAGCCTAACTGTAGAATTCTCTGACTCTGGCAGCTGCAGTTCTCCTCTGAGCCTTTTGGAGTCCCTGCTCCAGCCACTGCAGGAGAAGGAAGGCATGTCTACCATCCTGCCTACACAGTCTGCGGTTTGGAGTTTCTGGTAGGATGCGGCTTCTACTTGGCAGGTGTATCTGCCTCCTCCCTGAACTGGGTGTGCAGGACACACCTCCCAGATGAGGGAGAACATGTACAGCAGTCCTGCTCATAGCAGTGACACACTGGAGAGTTCTAGAAACCCAGCAGAAGTGGGGAGGATGGAGGATCTACACCCAATAGGAAGCCACATAACAATGGCAAGGAATGACCTGCTGCTACCCACAGTCAAATTCACTATGTCTTATACAGCACCTGTAGGTCTGTAGCCCAGGCTTTGGATCAGAAAATGCAGAAACTTTGGCCCATGAAGGAGAACTCCATCACCTTTGGGGCCTACTGTCTCATCTATAAAGTGAGAATTTAAGTGCTTTTGTCATAATGTTTTATGAACATTAACTAAGATAATGTATGTAAAACGCCTGGCATGCACCACGCTCACTTAAGCAGCGACAGCTTTATCACCTGCTTCTTCAACTCCAAGACCGCTTTGCCCATTAATTTCCATGCTATGCATGGCACAGCATCTTTTATCTCAGAATGGGCGGGGGGGGGAGGTAGAAGTTTCCTCCCCATTTTGTGGAAGGAGGAGATGAAAGTAAAATGTCTTGGTGAGATGTTTCTGAAACAATTCCCCTTTGCAGCCTGCCACCCTTCCCCCAAGTCACTGCCACAGTGAAAACAAGACTGTATTTATTCACCAGATGGTTCTCCACTTTAGCTGAAGTCCATGAGTATAAAACTGCCTAGTAAATTTTAATTGCAACTCAATACTTGGGAGTCTAGGAGCTGGTGATGGGTTATAGTTGGGAGTTATGATGGACAGCTTTGAGGAAAGGTATGTAGAAACCCCCAACCCCAAATGTCTGGACTTGCCCAGTGACCCACAAAAGAGAGATCTAGTGACCTGCTTTCTAGAACAGCAAGAAGATACCATCCTCTTCACACTGCCCATGGCTAAAAGTGTTGGGAAAACCTGCTTTCCATAGCTTCTTTTAGAATGTTTGCATACTCAGAGTGCCAAAAGGAGAAATATTTCAGTGGCAAGAATGGGAACCAACAAAACAGTAATGCCCACAAGTTCCCTGGGTCTCACATAATCTCAAGGCTACTGGGGGGAGAATTAAAGTTAATTTCTATCTATGAGTAGTTTAAGTGAATGTATTGAAAATGAAGATATGGTATGTTCTAGATATACTTAAAAAATGAGAAGCAGGAATCTGAACATATATTGGTACAGCAATGTTCATGAAGACAACATTCACGACAGTCCCAAAGAGAAAGCATCCTAAGTTATCATTTACCCACACATGGATAAATGAATAAGAAAAATGGAGCATACCTAGCCAGAGGAACTTTAATGAGCCTTGAAAAAGGAAGAAATTCTGATAGATGCTCCCACATGCATGAACCTGGGTGACATTCTGCTTAGTGAAACAAGGCAGACATAAACGAATAAATACTGTATCATTCGCTCGTACGAGGTCCCTGGAGTATTCAAAGTCATCGGCGGAAAGCAGAAAGTGGCTGCCAGGGGCTAGATGGAAGGAGAGCCAGTCTCAGCTTGGAGAAATGGATGGTCCTAATGTCTACATACAATGTGAATACACATAACGCTCTTTAGGAGCACACTTAGCAATGGTTGTGATGGAAAAGTTTATATATATATATATATGTGTGTGTGTGTGTGTATATATATATATATATATATATTAGCACACTTAAAAATGAAAACAACAAAAGCCATGTGATCTGCTTGATTCAGAGCCTCTGACCAACAATTAGCCAACTTGTGGGCTCCATGTCAGGCAAATTACTGAAAATGGCTGTTAATGTGAGCTGGGGCCTGGGATCACAGTCTCTCTCTGACAAAGACAAAGGAAATAGAGAATTCTCATGCTGGAGGGGAGATTGGAAGGGCCAGACAAACAACAGGGCCATGGTAGGCCATGATGTGATTGGTACTGTGGGTAGCAGGAATGGTCTAAGGTTGGATGTGTCCACCTAAAGAGCTCTTAGGTGGTTATCAGAACCCCCAGTCTTGACCTCAGAGTCCCCACTGTGGTCCTCTGAGAGTCCTCCAATGGTGGTTGGTAGGGGACCCATGGCTGCCTGTGCCTTGGGCTCCTTGGAATGGGCAGTGTCTCTGGGAATCTCTGAGGCCACATTGTATGAGAACTCTGAAAGCTTTCTGCATGGAGAGAGGAGTTTGTGTTATCCATTCTGCAGCCCCTGCTGCCTCCTGCCTAGCTGCCAGAAAATGAGGCAGGAGAGGCCAGCGCAGGACAGATGAGGCTGCAGCTGGCTCCACTCAAGGAGGACGTGGGGGACGTGTCCAGGTTTCCTTCCTGACAGGCAGTCATCCCATCTCCGTTCTCCATTGGAATTCCTATCTACTCAAAAATGGTTGTTAGAAGAAAGGCCTACAGAAGTGCTAGCCAGGCACCCATAGCCACTCCTGTAATCCTAGCTACTCAGGAATCTGAGAGCTGAGGACTGCTGTTTGAAGCCAGTCTGGGCAGAAAGGTTCATGAGACTTATCTCCAATTAACTATGAAAAAACAGAAGTGGAGATGTGGCTCAAGTGGTAGAGCACCAACCTTGAGTGAAAACGCTAAGGGACAGCATGTGAACCCTGAGTTCAAGCCCCAGGACAAGCCAAGAAAGAAAGAGAGAGGGGGTAGGGAGACAGAGGGTGGGAAGAAAGGAAAGAAAGAAGAAAAGAAGGAGGAAGGGAGGGAGGGAGGAAGGGAAAGAAAAATGAAGGTAGGAAGGTAAGAAGGTAGGAAGGTAAGAAGGAAGGAAGGAAGGAAGGAAGGAAGGAAGGAAGGAAGGAAGGAAGGAAAGGAAGAACAGTTTTCAGTAAGAGGCCTGTTGCTGTTCAGAAGAGCAGTGAGATTGTTGGAATTCTGGTCCTGGCAAACAAGGCTGGCATGTACAGTGAAACAATCTGTGCACTAAACTACTCCAGATGTACACATATATAAAAGGGTCTATGGGAGCATACAGAGTCCACATGCACAGCCCTTACCCACCCCTCCCTCAGGGTTCTCTGTGAGAATGAGACTTGTTAACCCTACTACCATCACCCTGAGCATCCTTGGTTATGTCCGCAGCTAGTGTTAAGCCAGATCTGAAACTCTGAGAATCTGTGGGAAGGAGGTAAGAGAATGTAGGAAGGCCAGAAGGCAAGAGGAGTGAGTTTATATGATGGGACATGGTCTGATTTCTAATGAGGGCCATAGAGTGGTCTAGATAGGTGGTATAGGGTTTACAGGTTTATGTTTACCAAGAGACCATCTTAAGTGGAAGTGCCCGTTACCCAAAGTATTCAGAAAGTATAGGAAATGGAATTGACACAGAAATAAAAAAATTAAAAAGAATCCAATTGAAAAGTTACATCTTTGGGGTTGAGCATAGCTCAGTGTTTGAATACTTGCTTAACATATGTGAGGCCCTAAGTTTGAACTACAATAAAAAGAAAAGTTACAACCTTTGAAGAAAACCTAGTTGACTAGTGAAAAATGAGGAATAACTTTATATGCTCGACTTAGTTGAATTCTTATGGTGTCCACAGAGGGTGTAATTCTTCTTCTCAGGACTGCCATGGTCACGTTATTGCAGACAGACACACAGATACCTGCTTATTCAATTGCTCACCATTTCCTGCAAGTCAACTCTGCCAGATCCTCACTCAGCATTGCAATACACAGGAGCACAACCCCTACATCCAGTCACACACACACACACGATTGTCCCATCTGTTCACCCCCACCCTCCTCCTTTCCTTACTTTCACCAGGAATCACATGAGAAGTCTGGCATTTTGATGCTGGAGGGAAGATGGAAGGCAGAGAGAAAAGAATGAGAAACAGGAAACCCAGAACCAGGAGCAGAACCAATGCCAAGAGTAGATATAAGTGTCCAGATGCAGAAGTTCTATGGGTAGATTATAATCTATGAGTAAGTTCATGTGTGTATGCCCATGTACTACTATCTCTCTCTCTCTCTCTCTTTCTCTCGCTCGCTCGCTCTCAATAAGTAAGCATGGGGAAATGTGGAGCCACAAATGTCACTGTGGACATACAATGTGCACTGGCACAGCACACAGCCTGTGTGTCCCCTGAAGAGCCCATGTGGATAGTTCCTCCACATCAGTATTTGCACCATTGCAGGACTTTTGAGCAATGGGCTAGTTTTCATTTTATGGACAATGTAAAGCTTGGCATTAATCCTATTATCCACGGTTGCCTTGGCTCCATATTTCCATGCATCTGGAAGGCGTGGCACTGATGTGGCACAGTGCACAGGTTTGCCCTGGGAGCCGGTGTACATGGGAGTTGGCTTGCCTGGACTCAGCTTCTGACTGGGTCCCCAGCAGATATCTAGTCCCAGACAAGCACTGGACCTCCGTGACCCCTTAGTTTTGTCATCTATTAAATAGGCTCCTGGGAGGTTAGATGACTGAATGCCTTTGAAGTGCTTAGAGCTGTACAGGGATTTTCCTAACAGCCAACTAAGAGGGATCATTCCTAGGATTATTATTTTGCCCTACTTTCCTCATTTATATTTTCCACTTTCCCCCAGTATTTATCTTCGTAAGCCATTCTAAAGCTCTTTCAGAACAAAGTATAATATGAATATATGCATAAGCAGGATACCAGGGCAGGCAGCAAGTGGCACAGGTCCCTCTCTTAGACAGATCTTTGGGTTACCATTCCTGTTTCCCCTTCTTTCCCCTCCCATCGCTGAGTTTTTATGGGAAGGTAATCCTCAGCTTCCATTCCATTCCATTCCCAAAGGACTCACAGACATCCCCCCTAAAACCTGAGTACGGCTCACATGTCTGTTCTGAGGTCCACTGTCTTCACCCCATCTCCTTGAGGACAACTTACTGGTGCCCACCAGCTAGGGAAGCGCAGGAAGAGTCGTTCCCTGGCCATAGTTCTTGTACCTTCTAACCGGGTGAGGGGCACTAGACCTGCAGGCCACCTCCCCACGGTCATGCTCTAACTCTAGCACAGGCCACCACTTCTCACCTCAAGGTCCCGGAGCACAGGGTGGTCTTCAATTCCTGGGAACAGCACCCGCATGGTGTAGTTTCTGTAATCCAGGAAGGGAATGCCGGCTCCATCCAGGTCGCTGGTCAGTTCGTGGATGTCTGTCTGCAGCTCGGCAAAAGCTAGCCCAAAGAGAAGCCCCATGAGACTGCAGAACTGGGCAAGAGCAGGTGTCGCCCCTCAGCTGGAAGGACTCAGAACCCTCCCTGGGGCCCCTGGGTAGCTGAGCACTGGAGCTTGGATATTCGAGGATGAATAGCATCAGCTGGAATTATGCCCCTTGTAAATGTCAGAGGGATGGCAAGGCTGTGCACAGATGTGTGCTATGGCTGGGGTCACAAAGGACTCATCACCTGAAGATGGAGGACAGAGGATGGGCTGGGACAGGAGAAAGTGGACAGATGGACAGGAGAGAAGGGTTTCCAGAATGAGTTTGTGGCTGGTCCTGTGTATTGTACTGGGTTTCCAAATACAATTTAAGGTTTCTTCCAATAAAAGAAAACTTCTGAGAGACCAGTTGTGGGCTGTACAGCTCATGGAGACCCTCCAACCTCTAAGTGTGGCTCGGATAATGAGACCGCTATGCTACTCTACCATGCAGAGTTGTGACTTAGTCCCTCCTGCTTTGAGAAGATGCTCACTGGGGGTGAATGTCGGCCTGCACTGCTGTCTGTGGTACAGACAAGGCCTCCAGATAGACAGTCTTAAGGCCCCCATTGGCCCCAGGAAAAATGTGACACACAGTACAAGAGGGTCTTACCGTAACTAAACCTGTTATCACACTCTGCCTGAACACACGTCCTCCTCTGGGGCCAGCCCCTGGCTACTGGAGATGCTAAGAGGTAAGGCGGCCAGCACTGCCTGGCGCTGGCTCTCTCCTTGTTACACATGCACTTACACATGCAGACATATATGTGCACACATATGCACACTCACTAGCACACTGACACACATTTGCACATACCATGATGGATGCCTAGTGGGCTGGGCTGGCACAGGAACTTTACCTAGCCACTCCAGGCACCATGCTCAGAGCCCTATTCTGTCCTCCACCCCACAGGGCCAAGTGAGAAGCACACAGCTGGGTGGTTTATGGGAGTGTGAGTAAGGTGGGGGTGCATGCATGTTTGTGTGGGAGCATGTCGGTGCATGTGCATGTGTGAGGATGAGTGCAGGCATGTGTGTACTCACAAATGTGTGTGTTTGCATCTCCACAGCTCAGAGCCGTGCAGGGCCAGGCTGGTAGCTTCTGAGTATGGCTATCGGTGACATCCTGGCTAGCTGTGACATCTCTGGCTGGCCTCAGGCCCACCCTGGCAGGCTCAGCAACATCCCTGAGCTTCAATGGCAATGTCCTCTTCCCAATCAGGACGGCTGATTGTGACAAGCCACAAGAGACAGCATGATACACCCCCCCCCCCCCCATAGACTCCTGTCTGTCCATCAAGCCCTCTTTCCCCAGGGAACCTTCTAGGAGAGTCTGGTATCCCCCTCTTCTGATTTATCCCCTCCCAGCTGGGGTATTGGGGTGCTCAGCCAGCCCGGAGGAGAAGGAGAGAGTCAGCTTTTGATTGGTCTGCTGCTTTTCTGTAAGTCACCAAGCCCTTCCAACATTCAAAGCCTAACCCCCCTCCACACATAAAAGAGATTCTAATCATTATGCCTAATTAGAGGGAAGAGTACATTGCAGAGAAAAAAAAATCAAGCAGCATAAATATAATAAAAGGCAGTAATTAACAGTCCCACAAGGCGGATGCTGAGGTGATGGTGGTGAAGGATGTGGAGAGGGATGGGATGGCTCATTTCCCCATCAGAATCGGTGTGGCTCCATGTGGTAGCCTGGGGTCCAGGGTCCAGTTAACTCTACATTTTACATTTCACCTGCAGAGGACCGGCTGGGCCCTTGGTCTGGCTGACTCATGCAAAGATGTGTTAGGGTTACGAGAGTCTGACAGCTATATTTCCTTTTTGGGTTCCATGCTGATCACACTTCATGGTGGTGTTCGTAATATTCTTTTAAAAATACATGCTGTGAAACACTCTTCCTTCGAAATCTCAGATCAGCCCTATAGCCTTCCCTTCCTGTGGAAGGAAGACAGCTGAGGATTGCTTGAATGTGACAGGTCCAGACACCCCCAGGCCTTCCCCCGGAAGCGGAGAGTGAAACACACTCAACCAGGATCAGGGCGGGTAGAGACAGCTCTCATGGGTGCAAATGATCCCAGTCTGATACCTGGAAGGAGTCTGAGCATTGCTTGATGGAATTTGGGACAGGTGTGGCTCAGCCTGCTGGTTTGGGAATGGTGCACATACACACACAATCACACAAACACACACATTTATATAGGCTCCCAAACTGACTGCTGCTGCCTGTCTACTTGCTTGTCTCTCTCTCTGTTTCTCTCTGTCTCTGTCTGTCTGTCTGTCTGTCTGTCTCTCTCTCTCTCTTTCTCTCTCTCTCTCTCTCTCTTTCTCTCTCTCTCTCTCTCTCTCTCTCACACACACACACACACACACACACACACACAAACACACACACAGTTTCAGGGCAGGGGCACCTGTCCACTCCGTACCTTCCTTGCACTCCAGGGCTACACGGGACTCAAGGTTGTCCATCTGCATCTGCAGTCTCTTCAGCGTGAGGTCACTCTCGCGGGATTTGCGCTTATAGGCAATGAGCACAGCCACGATGAAGATGATGAGGAGGCCGCCGGCCACTGCGATGCTGACGATGGCAGGCAGGCTGAGCGGGCTGTCTGGCGCGATGTACACCATGCCAGGGGAGTACTCCATGCCACCAACACGAGCCTGGGGGACACAGGGGAGGAGGGAGCTGGTGGCAGGGCAGCCTGGGGGAAGAACCCCAAGTCAGGATGAGGGCTGGTTTTGGGGGAAGAGCCCCCTCAGCTCGTTAAAAGAGGAGGGAAAATGGAGTAGATGGCAGAAGCCACTCTCTCAACTAGAGTCTGTGCCTCTTTCTCTTGGGTAGGCATAGAAAAGCATACAACCAAGCAAAGCCTGACCTAACGTCGGTGATACTTCTCTAACATACAGTCCTTCATAGTGATGGGGGCCCGAGACACAGGGCATGACACATGGATCTCCCCAGGCCACCATGCTCCTGCCTTCAAGACTCTGTCGCCTCTAACTGGAGACTTAGTATACCATTGCATATTGCTTTGCATTGCCCTGGTAGTTCACCCGCCAGTTCTGAAAGACCAACAAATTGGAGGGAGATGCTTGGAATTAGGGTGGGAAGAAGGAAGCAGGGGTGTGGGGTAGCTGGGAGGAGAGTACATTGGGTCAGAATCCTAGCCAGAAATCCTCTGTGAGCCTAATGGAGCTGGACCACTCACACCCAGTATCCCTCCTGCCCTGAGAGCCTAATGAAACTGGCCACTCACACCCAGCATCCCTCCTCCTGCCCTGAGAGCCCGATGGAACTGGACCACTCACACCCAGCATCCCTCCTCCTGCCCTGAGAGCCCGATGGAACTGGACCACTCACACCCAGCATCCCTCCTACTGCCCTGAGAGCCTAATGGAGCTGGACCACTCACACCCAGAATCCCTCCTGCCCTGAGAGCCCGATGGAACTGGACCACTCACACCCAGCATCCCTCCTCCTGCCCTGAGAGCCCGATGGAACTGGACCACTCACACCCAGCATCCCTCCTCCTGCCCTGAGAGCCCGATGGAACTGGACCACTCACACCCAGCATCCCTCCTACTGCCCTGAGAGCCTAATGGAGCTGGACCACTCACACCCAGAATCCCTCCTGCCCTGAGAGCCCGATGGAACTGGACCACTCACACCCAGCATTCCTCCTGCCCTGAGAGCCCGATGGAACTGGACCACTCACACCCAGCATCCCTCCTCCTGCCCTGAGAGCCCGATGGAGCTGGACCACTCACACCCAGCATCCCTCCTGCCCTCTGCCAGGATGCAGTCCTGCCCCTCACCATCACTTTGTGCTTGCCGATGAGGTTGGGGGACTCGCAGAGCAGCTGCACATCTGACACAGTCACGGTGCATGGCTTTTCCCCGACCAGCACGGTGTAGTTCAACTTCACGTTGCCCCCAGCCACTGGTGGGATGAGGTTCTTGCCCTGGACAGACAGGAAAGCCCTCATTTCAACCCTTGAGCCAAGACTATAGCTACTGGCTCCTGCCAGGGATTCCTACCTGGATATATCATACTGCAGGAGAGGCTACTGTCTGTATAAATCTAGAGAATCTGTGGTACCTGCCATGTCTTGGATGAGGTTTTTTTCCATAAAGCTTAGCACCTGATGCAGTATTGTTAAGAAGTTGTGGGACCTTTAAGAAATGGATGGGGGAGGGTGTCTATTGGGAGATCATTACTGGCCCCCTCTCTCTCTGCCCACTAGCTTCCTGTCTTACTAAGTGATGTCTCCTCACTCTCTGTTTCCACTGTGATGACCTTATAAGAGCCAGTGCTAGGCTATTTAGACTTTCTGACTTCAAAATTGTGAGCTCATTAAACTTCTTTTCTTTGTAAGTGCTAGCCTCAAGTGTTTTGTGACAGTAACTGAAAACAAACTAATGCAGGATTTAGATCACCATTTGTCTACCAGTGGCAAGTCAATAATCAAGCAACTCTGTCAGCATATCCTTGATGCAGCCTCGGTATCCTTCTCAAAAGAGAGGTATAATCAGTCACTACCAGTTGGTTCAAATGGTCATAGGAGTTAAAATTATCTTGCGATTTGTGGCCCCAAGAAAACTCAAGCTGTGGTTAGCAAAGGGCTGCAGGGGAACAGTATAAACCTCTAACTGCTCGGTTCCTGGGTGCTGAGGACAAAAGCTTTCCTAGATGAATCTGCCTGCCCTGGGAGTATTGAGCCCATAAAGAAGGATATGGTACACAATAGCTGAGAGGCTGCTTATGAAATCTGCAGAGGCCAGAAGTCACAGGCCTTCTGTGACCAGAACAACCCCTCACCCAACCAATGTAGTAGCTTCCTTTCTCCCCACCCTTGTTCTACCTTAAGGATGATGGGAGTGCCAGGCTTGAGCTCTAAAATTCCTGAGGGACCAAAGGCTTCAAACACAGGGTTGGGGTAGTAGGTGAAGTTGGTCTTGTTGAGAATTAGCAGAGATTGGACGTTGTCCAGGATGAAGCCAAACTCCTCAGGCCTCTCGGTGAGGTCAGACTGGTGGTCAGGACCCAAGGCAAGGGCTGGTGCCTGGCAGGTCATCTCCGTAGCATTCAGCACCTCACAGATCTGTGGGAGGAGTCCAGGAGGGCGATGATAAACAGTGTGTATACCCACCCTACCCCCCATGACAGGTCTCCTGGGGTGTCAAATGCAGAGGATTATGGATGACTGAGCCAGGATCACACACTTGGGTGCTAATAGATTATGCTATGTGGCTGTCACAGAACTCTGGTTTTTACCAGATGGGTATGGCAATAACTAGGTATTTGTAAGCTAGGAAGGAGCAGGGGTGTTAGAAGAAGGGAGAAGAAGGGTATGTATGAAACCCCAGGAAGTAATCGATCATGTAGACCTGCACCTCCTAAAGGCTGAAGATACCCAAGCATCTGCTCCTCTATCCCCCACTCCTAGGTGTCACAGGCTTGGTGACTGGCATATGGGTCAGGACAAGCCTGGGGACTTGGGGAGCCCCACCCTTTGGGAAGGTGGCATGCTGAGTGGGAACCTCCTCCCCAGGCCCTGCTCACCCACACTCACATTGATGTGTTCCTTCCCTCCATGCTTGGCACGGATCTGGGGGTTCTGGATAAGGTCCAAGTGAGTCCCCCAGACAGCGATGGGTGTGTTCCCACTGCCCAGGAAGAAAGACAGAGCTGTGAGAATCAAGTACCAGAAAAGGAAGGGAGGGCATGTGCCCATGATGGAGGTGATGATGATGATGATGACAATGACGATGAAGATGCACTGTGACAATAACGAAAAGCAGGTGGCACAACACTATATGTGGGGACAAGGAGGACAAGCTATGTGCTATCAAGAATAAACATCCCAGCAGCCAAGGGGAAGGAAGTAACAACAGATGCTGTGGCATCCATCCCTGGGCTTATTTTGAACAACGACAGCTTATGGAAGCATAGGTACTGTACAGCCCCTTGGTATCTGAGGCCTGGCCTGGGGTCTGGGGTCTCATCCCTCAGCTCTCATGGCTGTTGGGGACTTTTCCACACTTGGTCCTAGTCTACTAGAAGCCTACCTCTAGATATAGACCCTCTAAAGTTGAAGCTATCTGCCCTCCAAACCTGGGAGATTGTGCTGCACATTTTCTCATTGGAGCTGAGACCTGGGAAGGAAACAAGCCCAAGCACTCAGACACCTCCTCCAGGAGCACAGCACATGTGTGACACGATGCAGAACCCAGGCCTCTGGAACATGGGGGTAGGGAAGTAGGCTGATGCGGAGAACTTGGGAGAGTCATACCCATATCACCTTTAAAAAGGATGCCACTTCCCTGTCCCAAGAGAAGCCCTGGTTCCCAGAACTCAAGAGTAATTTGCTATCTAAAGCAAGATTTAGCAAGTTAACCAGCTACAGGCTGATTAAAAATTATAAGTGGGTAAGAATCCTTGACAGTTTCATCCACATGAATATCTACTATCTGTCTGTTTGTCTGTCTGTCTGTCTGACCATCTATCAATCTGACTAATATATTTTTATTCCCAGTACTCCAGATTGAATGCAGGGCCTCGTGCTTACAAAGAAGGCACTCTACACTTCCACACTTGTAGCCCTTTTGCTTTTAATTTGTTTAAATTAAAAGTCTTGTGTTTTTGCCTGGGCCAGATTCAGACATGGTATTCCTACCTCCACCTCCTGAGTATGATTACAGGCATGAATTGCCACACCTAGCCTTTGTCCAATTGTAGATATTCTGTTACTTCCTTCCTTTTCTCCTTGAGTATGTGTGTGTGCACGTGTGTGTCCATAAGATAATTCCTGTGATACCCAAGGAATATTACTACCTACAGCAACGTCCAAAAGAGCTTCTGGCCTCCAGCTATCCCCTGTCTTCAGTTGTCAATTCCATGCATGGTTGCAGACTCTCTGCCCCACTGTCTCTGAGCTACCTAGGCAGAGTGTGCCAATCAAAGCCATACCTTGTGCAAACACTCCCCAGCCTGACTTTCAACAACAACAAAAAACACTAGAGCTGGCTGGTAGTCCTAGAATGTGTCTCCAACCTCCTAGACATGAGCATGACTCAGAGATACTGCCAAGTGCCAGGAGGGATGACACTTCTATTTCTGTGATGATGATACACAGAAGGCCTGAATTCAGCCAGAGTGTATGCCTCCGAGTCACAGAGCTTCTAGAGTGAGGCACACACAAAGAAATAATCAACTTCCTTTATTCTTCAGGGGCCAAATACAGAGTAGCCTTTGATGGTCTGTGTCCTCCTCTGTCCCTCTTGCTCTTCATCTGCATTAAGACCCTGGCTAACATTTCCAGGTTAGACCTTACAGAGTGACTAACACTTCCAGGTTAAGCCTTACAGAGTGACTCTTGAGGCCGCCATACTCCATGCCCTTAGCCTTCTCTCTGGTGATAAAAGCAGAGGCTGCAAAGAAACATAGGTCCCATGGTTTCCCTTATTTGCAGTATCTAGTATATGTCTGAGTCAAGCAGAAAAGGTCAGATAAGTTGATGTTAGGGAAATGAACCCTAAGATCTGTATTCAAATTTTTTTTTCTTTCATGCGATTGTTTCTAACGCATTTATAAGATTATTTCTTTGTTGTTTTGTATGTCCCTCCCCCATGGTATAACCCCTGCTTTCACTGTATTTGAGGTTGGTATAATTTGTGGAGGGGAAGGAAAAAAACAAATCATTTAAATAGGGTTACAGGTGGACCCACTGCAACAATGTGATGTATAAGTTGTTATGTTGAAAAAATGAACTTTACAACTTTGGTGGGGCGGGGGGGGGCGGAGAGGGAGCGGGGAGGATTGGGTGGGGGGGCGGGGGGAGGATGGGAAGGGATGGGAAGGGGAAACAAAGGAGGAGGCTACAATGCTTGATAAGAAATGTACTCATTATCTTGCCCATGTAATTGTAACCCCTCTGTACAGTATTTTCACAATAATAATTTTAAAAAAGGCAGAGGCTGGCAAACTTTCTGAAAGGACTAGACAGTAAATATTTTAGGCTCTGCAGGCCATATGGTCCCGGTCACAACTACTCCACTCCGCTTTGTAATGGGAAAGCAGCTATAGACAATACAGATAAAGTAAGCATAGCCCTGTTCCAATAAAACTTTATTTACAAAAGCAGGTGACTGGTGTGTTTTGGGTTTTAAAGATGGCTTCTTAGACTACACACAGGCTATGTCCATGTACCTCACTTTATCCTGAAGAACTTTTTTTTTGCCTGTGTGTGCCAGTACTGGGGCTTGAACTCAAGGCCTTGTGCTCTTGCTTAGCTATTTTGCTCAAGGCTTGCACTCTACCACTTGAGCCATACATAACTCCACTTGCCCTAACATTTCTTCATGCTGTCCTCTCTGGCTTCCTTGGCCCCTGCGCAGACAGTGGGGCAGGGAAGACATTGAGCTGAGCACTGTACTCCCCTAGGGTGCTGTCTCTCACTTCATTCCCTTGTTGCCCAGTGGGGGAGCTCACAGGTGGGCCTCCTTGGGCCCAGGAAGCTGTTAAGGCCACCTGTCTGATCAGCAGCAGCCTGGGATGAGCCCCCTGTCTGTCCTTCTGTCCTTCCTGTCTGTCCCTGCTCCCCTTGCCGTCCCACAGAGCAGCTTCCCAGACATCTTCATGGGACACCCTCCACACAGCTTCCTCATCTCCACAAGATCAAGAGAGCTCGAAGTTTCCAAATCCCCAGAATTACCCAAAAGATGGGGTCCCAGCAAGAAACTGTGACTTGCCCCAGGCGAATGAATGAAAAGCTGCACTCCTGCCCCAGGGTCTTCCTAAGACGGTATCCAACACTTAGGTCCACCTTCTGGAACATTCATTTAGTATATCCATATTGAACATTGGGGAAAGTGCAAGGAACAAGGCCCAAACTGTGCCCTTGAGGAGTTTGTAGTAGAGGAAGAGACAAAGCCAAGCAGGCCAAGAGGGAGCAGGCTACAAGGACGAGCGGTCAGCAGGCCCCCTGAAGCACAGAGGATGGGGACAGACTGGATAGAGCATGGCCTAGGGAGGAGGAAAGAAGTTGACCTTGAGCTTCCTCCTTCTTCCCCATACCTCAGTCTGAGGCAGGACCAGAATGACTGCTGATATTTAGCAGAGGTGAGGTACAGAGGAATCAAACAGGCACCTTGACCGGGGCTGTGGGCATTACCACCAAGAGCTCCACCAGTCCTGAGGCTGGGGTCATGAGTGAATGCTGGCTGGTTAGAGCTTGACCTCTGGGCTGGGGCTTGCACCATCCAACCTCTAAACAGGACTGCGTTCCCAGAACTTTCCTTGGAGTTATAGCACCGAGGAAGGAAACTGAGGTCTGAGGCATGGAGGGACGGTTGGGGCAGCTCCTACCTGACGATGCTCCACTCAGGCTCAATGCGCACGATGGTGGGGTCCTCCACGTACTGGAAGGCGAGGTCCTGGCGGATTTTCGCCCTGTCCACCTGCACTGTCACCTTCAGCTCTAGTACTTCGTCTGAGGATGTGGTGTTGCAGACGATGAAGGATGAAGATCGCCTGGAGGAGGGAAGGCAGTGTACTGAGCCCCCTGGGCATTGATGGGATGGTGGTCCTGGGGCAGCTCCCTCTGCCCAGTGTGTCAGGCTCCTCAAGAGCAGAGGACAAGCACTGGCCAGAGGTAAGGCTCAAGGACCAGATTCAGAGGCTCTTTGACCAAGATGAGTCAGATTTTCAAATAGGCCTGATCTTGGGGGGGCCTTGTTTAGTTTACCTGACATTATTTTTAGCCAGGATATCCTGATTGATCACACACACACACACACACACACACACACACACACACACACACACACACAAATCTGGTCCTCATGACTTGCCCTCAGCAACAATCCCTTTAAATCAGCCTAGTAAGAATTCCCAGGCTCCCTTTCTCTTCCTAGTTTTCGTTCTCCACCCCCTTAGTCCATCCCCAGCTATCTCCCCTGCATTTGGAGTTGAGCTCTGTCTTATCCCCTATTGTGACAGACTCCAGACTACTACAACATTCTGAAAGAATTCATCCCTATCATTTTACCAAGTGTCAGAATGATTGTTTCTTTAGCACTGCTAACACAAGGCCTGGCCTGGTCTGACTTCAGATCTGTCAGAGCATTCAGCATAGCCCCTCTAGGGAAACCTCTCCCTCAGGCCAGCCACATCTTTTAGGCCCTTCCTGGATGAGCCATGTGTTTCTCCTCCCCTAGGCTCTTTCTGGGCTAGCACAATGAAAGTCGCCTGCTTGGCCTCAGCCTCAGAGCTATTCCAGTTATCTCTGGGCAGTCATTGCTGGCTCCTGGGCCACAGCTGGAGAGAGACTGACAGCCATAAACCCTGAGCTTGCTCTGTGGCTTCTGCAGAGAGGCTGGTGTGGGGTACCTGGCCGAATGATGGCCAGCAGCATGGATGCCCTCTGAGGAAAGGCATGCCCAATAGGCATTCAGCCCAGCCTCTGCCCTCTCCCAAGGACAGCACAGCACACCCATGCTCACAGGGAGGAGCCAGGACTTCCAAGAGTTAGCCCAGGAAGTGGCTGTCCTCTCATCTCCATGGAGCTCTGACTTTTCCCCAGAGGTTTACCTGTTTGAGCTGGTTACCTGTGGAAAAGGCAGGGCTGCTTTCCGAACATCACCACCACATTGCTGCCTGCATTCAGGTTGGTGCCGGTGATGGTGACCTGGGTGCCCCCGGACATGGGCCCCTTGCTGGGCTTCAGGTCTGAGAGGGTCAGCGTCTGCATAGCAAAGAGTGAGGGTTATTGTCCACTTCCCAGATGAGATGCAGAGGGGTTAAGTAACTTTCCCAAGGTCACACTGCTCAGAAGCAGCATCTGACTTGGGAGCTCTGATTCTCCTTCCTTTGGGGAATGTGGCATGCCCCTTCCCCATTGTCCCTGTGCTTCTCCAGAGAGCCGCCCAGAGTGCTGGTGGCTAGAACAATGACCACCATGTAGGAGGACCTGCAGCTGCCCCACACACAGCCTTCTGCTAGGATGGAGGTGTTAGGAGTAGCCAGGCTGGGGCTGGGGGCTGGGAGGAAAGCCCTTGACGGCCAGGGATTTGGAGTTGCGGTTTATTCTTTCATTAGCATTTTAATGGAAAAACTTTCTTCAGTCCCAAGTGAGAAGCCTGTATCTGCATTTAAATGAAGATTTCTCTTTCCCTTCCTCCGCCACCTTGCCCTGAAAGAATGAATGCTCAGCAATGACGCTCAACACACTTGGCTCCCAGGGCTTCTGGCCATCTCCCTTGGGAGCCGGCATGCCCAGGGCCTGGTCTGAATGCTGGTCTCTTTAGGGCAAATCTACAAGGGCACACTTGGAGACACTTGCAGGCCCAAGCTGGCCTGTCCTATTAGGTGTGGCCTGTTCTACTTGGTTTGAAATCCTTGCCAGGGAGAAGGATGGGGTGAAGGGGTGTAAAGAGCGCCCTTTTCTCAGCTCTCTTTGAATCATGCTGTGTGACTATGATGAGATATTGGCAAACCTCTCTGGTCACATAATCAGAAGTCTGGGCCCCAAAATGGTTTCCTCTATTACTCAGGACAACTGTTTTCTGTAATTCATAGGTAGCTCACATCTTTCCAAATACTCCCTAGGCCCAATGAACTCCCCTGAGATGGAAAGGGAACAGAGAAGCCGCCTATTGTTCTATCTGTGCACAAGGCTTCGGGGATAAGTCTAGATCAAGCCCAGGAAAACTGAAGAGACTGAGAACAAGCACTCTCTGCCAGTACCTAGCTAGGTAGAGAAGTAATCCCTGTGGGCTTTGCCTACAGGGGTAGACTGGAGGGGGCATTATTCTGGGGGTGGGAAGAGGGTGATACAGACACAGCCTTAGAATTGTGAGAAACTGATTATTCAAGTCATGCGTCATTAATATTTCACGAGGGGTTTGCATGGGAATTCAAATTCTGCATGAAGTGCCAGCTTCTCACTCGGCTCCACAAATGGAAATGGGGCCTGGTGTAATGGTGCATGCTCGCAATACAGCTATTGGGGAGGCAGGGGTGAGAGGTTGACCCGAGGCCAAAAGCATAAGATCCTATGTGAAAAAAGAAGTAAAGCAAGCAAACAAACAAAAGGGTTAGGGATGCCGCTCTTGAGGCCCTCAGTTCAAGTCCAGTATTGCCAGAGGTGGTGACAAGACCAGGGGTGCCAATCTGGCTTTGGCCTGTGGGTTTAGGGAGAACAAACCACACAGTACAGCTGGCCTCATTTTGTAGGGAAACTGAGGAAGACTCAGCACTGGCCATGGAAACAAACTCCCAGCATGCTTCAGGTTCTGAGCGGCACCTCTACAAAGGACTCTCTAACATGTCCTGTCCCCAAACAGCCCAGGACCCCAGAGAAGAAGGGCTCCTTTGTGAGCCCCAAGGAGTGTTACCCGGCTGCGGGGAGGACAGAGGTGGGGACGAATCTCTCCCTTCCTGAATCCCTTCTGACACTCACGGGATTTTCTACCCCTCATTTCCACCTGGACTGCCTCAGAGCTCCATGGGTGGTGCGGGAGCTTCATGACCCCAATGTGTAAATGGAGGCAGGGAGGCTGCGGTTCTCACACCATTCTCTCTCTTCCCCAGAGGGCCTGTGGAATTCCTCAGCGGTAATTCCTTAGAGGTGTCCTTCAAACACAGAACTGACGCTGGTCTTGGAGCCTCAGCTGCAATAGAGCAATTCCACTGTTGGTGGTGTCTGCCCCCATGGCTCCTGACAGCTCCTTGGATCTAATTTTCCTCATCTGGTGGCCCCTTCTCGGTCCTTCCTTCCATCCCATCTTCCAGTGCACATCTAACCCCATTAGTCTTATTCTAGTATAGTGCCTGCCACTTGGGGTCCACAAGGAAATCAGTCAGCCCTGGACAAGTCCACCTTTCCATCTCCTCTTCCATCAATGACATTTCTTCTTGATACGTCAGATTCCCATACATCCTGCTCCAGGGTGAAAACCATCCTGTAGGGGGATTCTAATAAGAATTAGGGAAGTCAGGAGCTGGCTGCCTACATCTGTCATCCCAACTACCCAGGAGGGTGAGATCTGAGAATTGAGGCTCAAAGCCAGCCCCAGCACAAAAAATTTGTGACACTCTCATCTCCCAGGAACCAGCAAAAAGCTGAAAATGGAGGCGTGGCTCAAGTTTAAAGCACCAGTCTTATACAGAAAAAGCTAAGTGAGTGTGCAAGTCCTGAATTTAAGATCAAGCACTGGTACAAAAAAGCAAGCAAGCAAGCAGGAAGGAAAGGAGGGAGGAAAAAAGGAATTACAGCAGAGAGTATGGGGGCCATAGAGCATCTCCACCACTGCTGTACTCCTGTCGGCCCAGAGTGCACACTGGGGTTACCGGGAAGCTTTCTGATCAAGTTAACACCCCCACCCCTGCCGAGCGTGGCTGAAGAAGTAGGGAGTGTGGTCCAGTTGTTTTGGTCAGGCCCCCAGGGGACCCTAGCATGCATCATCAGGTTGGAAGTGCCCACATACCGTGAGGGCCAGCACAGAGATGAAGGCATTGGCTTTGTCTCCAAAAGCTTATGGGGCTGCAAAGAGGAGCAGAGCCCAAGGTGACCACTGGGCACAGTGAGCAGATGCCACCGGAGCAGTAAGACGGGGTCACAGGGTGGTGTCCTCAGAATAGGTATGTATGTTTGGAGAAGAGCAAGGAGTGGGAAAAGGGCAGGACTCTGGTTCGGGAGAGTAAGTGGCTGGCTTGGTGTGTCAGGGGAAGGAGATGGAGGGGGGTGGGATTCGAGGAAGGCAGGCCATAGCCTGAGAGAGATTGAGTAGGGGGCCTCACAGAGGATCTTGGCAGCATCTCACAGGGAGAAGGAGACTGGAATGGGCTCGTGTTTGTTTGTTTGTTTGTTTTCTGAAAAGATGCTTGGGTTAGAGTGGTCTCAGAGGAAAGACTACAGGAGGTCCCAGCTGGGACAAAGAGAATCAGAGAGTGAAGCTGAGGCTGACTGGGGGTTGAAACTAGAAGCAAGGGAAGCAGAGCCACTGTGTGCCAAGTCTGTGTGCCTGGAGGACAGGCCACTAGCAGGAGTGGCTGAGAAGGGAGGGGGCACAATTGGGGGCAAACAGCTTGGATGGGTCGCACGGAGATAACAGTAGGACACACAGGGGTCTGTGGCCTTGGAGCTGGTCTCAAGAAGTGAGAGGCTCTCAGGGGACTCACAGCAGTTGAAACCCCAAGAAAAAGGGGGCTCATTGAGGTCAAAACTGCCCTGGTATTGTCCATGCTGCCATCCACAAGAATCTGGCCAGTTGACTGGCAGCGGAAGGCCAGGGCTTCCTTAGGCCATGCTGTGATTTCCTCCCTTTTCACCTCTGCTGCAGGCAATTTCAGAGCCAGATGTTAGGCCCGATACCCAGCCGGCACCATCCACGTGTCTAGTGACAGCCAGCGGCATCCAGAGTCAGACGGTTACTCAACAGCCGAGATCGGGGGAAGCCTCGGTGTGCCAGGTGGAAGAAGCATCTAACCTGCAGCTTTTCTGAGGCTTACCTCAACGTGCCTACAACATTGCCTGTGGTTGATTTTATCTCCCCAGACCATGGGTCTTCTGAGAGAGGAGCTGTATGTGTAATCCCATACCCGGGACAAATTATTAGAACATTCAATTTAATTAAACACATATTCATCAAAACATATAATAAGAGGCACTTTTTTTGAGGTGATAAATGACTGTTAGTCAAAGGGAGAAGGAAAAAGAATGAGAAGGAAGGAGAAAAGGGAGGAAGGAAGGAGGGAGGGAGAACTGGAGGAAGGAGAAAGGAAGTAGGAGAGTGGAGTTTCCTAACAATATTTTTAGAGCACTGAATGTCTAGGCAGAATCCATGCCTTTAGGCTTCCGGCTTCCAAAAGCAGCCAGCACCCTGCTGTCATGCATCTGAGAAGTTTAGTCATGGAAATGATGGGGTATGTGGTGGGGAACTTGTGAATGTCCCCACCAACCCTGTAAAGTCGGGAGCTTCCTGAAGTCTGGCATCCTTTTAGAGATGGAAGGGTGAAGCTGGAGGACTTGGGGGCTAGAGTGAGACCTTCAGAGAGGCCAAGGAGGAGGAGAGGGGATAGAAGGGTTGGGAGGCGGAGCTGAGGGTGTGGAGAGGGAAAGGTGGGTGGGTATGACAGGCAGGCTGTGAAACTGTGGCGAAAGGAGCAGATGAAGAGTGATGGTCTATGGTGGGAAGAGTGAGGGGGGCTGGGCTGGCTGAGTGTACAGGGAAAGATCAGGGCATAGCAGTGGGATTCGCAATCACGCATAATAAAAGAGATGATACTAGAAAGAAAAAAAATATACACCATCCTGTGCTGTAGATGCTATTTTACAAATGAAGAAACTGAGCCCCCAAAAGTTAAACATGTGCGTGTCTAAGTTCTCCCAACTAATAAGTGGTGCACCGTAGGCACAAATTCCACGAGTCTCTGTGGGATGCCCACATTCTCATTCACCTACCACAGCTCTCAGCCACATGGGCAGATGGCGGCCTAAGGGCTAACCCACATTATCTGGCGCCCCACAGCCAGGTACAGCTAATCTGGATTGGAGACCTGACTTTTTGGATTTCAAAGGCTATGTGCTCACTCCCTGAGACAGGACTCATGTAGGGAGTCCTGCCCTGCATTTTTTTCGAGGTCTAGTCAGACCTAGCAATGATGTTGAAGTGTGTGGTGGCCTGCACCTCTCCTGGCCAGGGTTCTAGTGGCCAGGACTTACCATGAAATAATAGAGCTGTGAGGAACGGGCCATGAACTCAGGCCGACACACAGCCACACAGATTTCCACGAAGCCGGCGTGCTGGCTGGGCTTGGCCTCCCCCATCTCACACACGATCCTGCAAGAGGTGAAAAGACATCCCATGAGCCACAGGATCCAGACATGACCTACCCCGGTCCTCTGTCATGCAGGAGATCTCAGGGATAGCAGGGAGCAGGGATTGAAGGCACATATGCTTCCCTGCCAGGGCTCCTTCTTGGCTTTCAAAAAATGAGGAAACCTGCTGGGTACTGGTGGCTCACACCTGTAATCTTACTCAGGAGGCTGAGATCTGAGGATTGTGATTCCAAGCCAGCCTGGGCAGGAAAGCCTGTGAGACTCTTATCTCCAATCAATCACCAGAAAACTGGAAGTGGCATGGTAGCTCAAAGTGGTAGAGGGCTAGCCTTGAGTGAAAGAGCTCAGGGACAGCACCCAGGCCCTGAGTTCAAGCCCCATGACTGACAAAAAAGAAAGAAAGAGAGAGAGAGAAAGAGAAATAGAGAAAAAGAGAAAGAAAGGAAAGAAAGAAAGAAAAAAGAAAAAAAGAAAGAAAAAAGGAAAGAAAGGAAGGAAAGGAAGGAAGGAAGGAAGGAAGGAAGGAAGGAAGGAAGGAAGGAAGGAAGGAAGGAAGGAAGGAAGGAAAGAAAATGAGGAAACTCAAGGGAGCCTAGAGGAAGGTCCCGAGTGTTCTGACCCAACTCTGAACTCAGTGGTTAGCAAGAGGCAGGAAAATGTTTCAGTGCAGGGTGGGAAGGTGAGCTACCCACAGGTTCTCAGCAAGTCAGACCTAGAATGTGGAAGTAATCTCAGGTTCTCAGTCCTCATCTGGGAGCAACTTACTCCTGAGGCTGAGGTTGCTTCAGCACCATGCTTTCTTCTCCTCTCCAGCTTTTAGTCCAGGTAGGAAGATACTGTGTGTGTTTGTGAGGAAATGTGTGATACAAATACACCATTTTACATGCTAAGAATCTGAGGTACAGAAAAGTCAGGCCTCTTCATCCACATCCAGGGGATCCATGTCTCTAGATCCCACCAACCATGGAGCAAAATTATCCCTCCACAAATGGTACCTGTACAGAACGTATGTGGACATTTCCCTTGTCATTATTTCCTAACAATACAGCACAAAAACCACTAATCGCATTTCCATTGACTTAGGCATTATAAGTTGTGTGGAGATGATTGAAGGCATAGGAGTGATGTACATATGCAAATTCTTGTCATTTTATAGAAGAGACATGAATATCAATGGAATTTGGTATCTGAGGGTTCTTGAAACCAATTCCTTGAGGAAAATGAGAAATCACTGTATTTACATACCTGTATATTTTATTTATTTGTTTTTGGAGGTCGTTTTGCTAAATACTGTTTTATATGATCAGATGCACATTAGCATTGAGCCTTTGTATTCTTGTCCTAAGAGTATCCTTTTTCGATCACACTGTGTGTAAATGCCTAGATTATCTCTGTGTTTTGTATGTATCTATGCAAATATAAATGTCAGCATATGTATAAAATGTGTACATATACATGCATGTACATGTGTGTATATACAATAAACACATATAGGAAACGTACTTTTTAAGATAAAAATAAAATATAACATACTCACTGTTCTATATACTTATTTTTACTTAACAATACACCATAGACTTTCCTTCCTATTATTCTACCTTGCTCTATTTTATTCTTTCTAACAGCTTTGCAATATTTTGCACTATGACTAAAATCATCATCTTCCTATTGGTGGGTATTTACTTATCCTAACTTTTCTTGTACTTCAAGTAACCCAGCCAAATGAACCAAACCACACACACACACACACACACACACACACACACACACACACACACTAAAATAGACTCTGACGTGTAGCTCAGTGGTAGATGTCACTCAATGCAGCCCCTGCTCCCAAATGTAACCCCATCATAAATTGAGGAACATCTGTGCAGTAATTCATTGAGTTGATGAATTCCCTATTTTTAGGTATACAATTTGCTTCTGGATTTTTGCTATTATGAATAAGGCTGAAATAAGCATTTTTGCTTATAAACAGTTGAGTAGTTTAGTTATTTAGGGAATGGTATAGAAGTATGGTTGGTGGCTAAACTATAGATTTTGTTAGGTATGCTGGAAAGAAATGGCCTCTCCCCTTGGCTCTCTCTCAGTGCACCCTAGAAGTCCTTGCCCAGCACCTGTAACCCAGGCAACTGGCATGCCTGGGGGCAGTGGGAGGTCCTCCAGGCTCTGAGGTCATTTCCCCATCCACTGAGGTCACCTCTGCTTCTGCTGTGGCTTTATGTGATCTCTCTCCTCCTACCCTAATTCCTCTTGCTCTACCCAACTCCATCTTGTGTAGCTGTCAGTTTGCTCTCTCTCTCTCTTTCTCTTTCTCTCTCTTCTTCCCTCCCCAAGCTCTCCTCTCTTCCCCTCTCTCCCCTCTTCTGCCTGAACTGCATGGGCATTTCCATTTGGCAACCCTTACAGATTTTTTTAGGCTGTTTAATTTTTATGGGATAAGATGTTGCTATGTATCCCAGAATGGTCTTTAATTCTTGATCCTCATGCCTTTGCCTGCCTAGTGCTAAGATTGTAGTCATGCACCATCACACTTGACCAGACTACATACGTTTGGTACATATCTCTGTTGTCCCAATTTACGTTCTCATCTTGAGTGATACTTCCCATGTCTTCCCATATCTTCCTATTCCTCCACAGTGGGCACACTGTGGGCACAGTGATGTTTAAAAAGCATTCTCCATTCTTTTAATTTATATTTCACATGGCTCTCAGTTCTTCAAACATGCAGTGACTTATACATTTGTGTTCTTTGCTTGTTTTGTGAGATCTGCATTTTATTTTTAAAACTTCTGTATCTGTTTAGAAAAAGTATCTATTAACTATGATATAGCATAAGTATTCTCAGCTTATCATTCATGTTTTTACTTTGCTTACAATGATGTTCAATGTTCAAGTCTTAAAATTTAATGTACCCCAAGCCCCTAATCTTTTCCTTTATACTATCTTCTTTTGAAATTATACTTAGAACACATTCCCCTTCCTGAAACCAAATACATTTCCACCTGTACTTTCTTCTACTCTTTTCACAGTTTCATATTTTACAGTTGCCTTTTTAATCCATCTGGGATTCATTTTCGGTGGATAATCTGAAATATTACTTTTCTCAGGAGTTAACTAACACCATTTATTGGACTATCTTGCTTTTCCTTGTTGATTTGAGTCACCTTCATTGCATACTAAGATTCTTTTCCTAATTGTTCTATTTCATTCTATGGATCTTAGTACTATCACTATTATAATTATGAGGCTTTATATAATACTTTTGATGCCTGTTCACACGAGTTTAGAGTAGATGTGTTTTAAACTTTCCATATCATGGTACAGTAGCCTACTTTGTTTTGACTCTTCTAGGAAGGTCTGAAAAAGCGGTAGGAGCCATGTAGAGTTCTTTTGGTAATGGAGGGTTGAAAGACCAAGGAGGTGAGCATCCTACCAAGATTTGAGCCTTTCTTAAGTCATCTCATCTGCTATGAGTATTTTGGGAAGACCCAGGAAGAATCAAGGTCAACAGTATTTCAGAGTCACTATATCCTGAGGAGACTCAGCCTTACCAGCAGCCTGTGCCTTACGTACACAAGACAGGTGACAAGGTTGCATACTGGGAGGAGCAGTAAGACAGACAGTACGGAATAAGATTCCACTGTGCTGGCAAGCATTTCTCAGTTGTGTTTGCTGGGCTGGAAAATAGTGTTTATTTATTTACAAGGCAATAGATGACTCCTGAATCTCGTCGTCTAGCTGGGGTTAGAGGTCAAGGTCACCTGTTGAATGCCCTTCCCCTGAATTCTGTGAGCCAATAGACTTGACAAAGATAAAAAGAACATGAAGTCCCCATAGGCTTGAGAAGAGGAGTGAGGTTTCATTTTCAGCCTCCAAAGGATCAGCTTCATGATGAGGGATGGGGTGTATGAGTAGGGTGCTAGAGACAACAGAGGAAACAGAGTTCACATTTGTCTGACCTTGCTTTGTCTCACCTCTACTGCTTGCCTTAAGTAGGTTTCATTCATTTTTCTCCTCTCTCCCAGTCATGACCTTTGCCTCTTTCTATGTGTCCCCGGTACAGCCAGTCACTGGTTGGTGGGTGGGGAGTAATGGGTTCCCTGCACGCTGTAAAAAGGCTGGGGATAGTCTCTATTTTACCTGTCACAGCTTTGAGAGTGTCTGTTACGATCAAGGAGTTGTTTGTCCAAGTTGAGCCATCCCTAATCAGAAAAATCTCAAATCTGAAACTTTTGAAATATGGACATAACACTATAACTGGAAAATTCTATAGCATGAAATTTGGGTTTCTGCAGAGAATTAATAAAAGCATTGTATGAAATTACCCTCAGCCTATGTGTAAAAGGCAGATAAGAAATATAAGTGAATCTTGTGTTTAAAATTCAGACTCAAGTTATCTGATCATATATAACATATATTCTAAAATCTGGCAGTGGGGGTGGGGTGGGGAGGAATCCCCAATTCAAACATTTCAGATCAAGGAGACTCGGCCTGTACGGCTATATCATCCCTCTCCTCCTGCTCTTCGCTGTGTCTCAGGTGGCTTCCACTTACTGTTCTGCAGGGATGTAGCCATCCACCAATGGACTGCATTCCACGCCGGCCACCTTGACATGGGAAGCGATGTCCCGGAATTCCAGGCCCAGGTTCTCCCCTCGGATGGTAACCTTAGTGCCCCCTTCCCGGGGGCCTGTCACTGGGATTATCTGCAGGGAGGAAGAGAAGTGATTGTAAAGGCCACAAGAAGCACCATTACTTGATGGTTCTTTGACTATCCATTCTTGAATAGGTCTGGGGCTATCAATAATGGGCCCTAGCCTTCAGATAATGCAAGCTGTGTGTGTATGTGGTCTTAGAAACCCAGTTCAAAGGCCCTGGTGGATCATTCCATCTCACAGGAGAATAAGGTCACTGTAGGAGGACTGAGTAATCCATAAAACATTAGGATGCAAACCTTCCAGCCTTCTCCTGGGTTGGCTTCACGCTCCATAAGAACAAGACCTCCCCTCACACACAGCTCTCTACACCTAGGATCATCCCACCCCTCTTTGGAGATCCTTCTCAAATGCTACTTCCCATAAGTGAAATTCCAAGACCCCTTCTTTTATTTCTTTGATGATAATATTGATTCTTGTCTGTCTCCTTATCCTTTCTACTTCAGCACCCCCTCTTCTCACACAAGCCTCTAAGGACAGGGACATGTGCTGCTGCTCTTATGGCCTTGTCAGAGGAAATGCCATATTCATAGCATGAGCTATCACTATGTTGGAAACCACACCTCTCTAAGCATCTTTCTGGAGTTGTACAGCTATTTGTCCTAGCCACTGCCTCATTGCTGGGCTCGTTTTCACTTAATTTAGACTTCACCTGGATGCACTGGTCAGTATGCCTCTCCTTCCTTCTTACAGGGTCACCATGGGCCTTATGATTAGGATATGAACATTAGTTCTCTGTAAGTAAGGGCCTGTCTGTGCTGAGCTGGGAGCTGCAGGCAGTGACCACAAGCCAATGACTACTTCCCACATTCTATACACCAAAGAAGGGCTTTTTTTCTACACCTGGTCCTCTGAGTCCTGGTATTTGCATCATGGCCCCGTGGGGGAGCAGAATGGCAGGAGCCTCTAGCCCTTCCCAGTGTGTCCATTGGCCCTTCTCAGCAAGGGTCACAACTTGAGCTCCATCCTGGGGTGGAAGTTGGGGAGGGCAAAAAATAATAGGCTGGGCTTCCCTTTAATGGCAGCTTTGCAGAGAGAAACTGCTCGCCTGCAGTGGTCCAGCTGCCTCCTGCCTTTTGAATCTCTCCTCTGTGGGCATGAGTATTTGTGAGAGGTGAAAGGATTCCCATGATAGTGGAAAAACTGCTTCCTTGAAGACACAGGCCCATTTCTGTATGGGACAGGCAGGCAGATGTGGAGAAGGCAGGGAGAGGGGTCTAGCTTTCCCCTAATGCCTGCCCAGATGGACGGCCAGTCCCCCAGTGTACCCCTAACACATGGTAGCAGGTGAATCCAGCATGAGATTCAAGCTCTAGCTTGTCATCCTGTGAAAGCAGTTTTATCTTTGGCCCAGTCTAGATTCCCTGGAGGGCCAATGCCAGTATGGAGAGCACTAAATAGACTTTCATACATGGAAATATGTTCTATTTGATACCTCCTCCCTGTGGTTTTCTTGGACTTCAGCCAAAAAGAAAACAAATTGGACCTAACACACCATGAGCTGCCATGTGCCGTGGGCCCAGGGATGGCTTCTTGTTAAGAACACTGGGACAGAAGTTCTATGGAGGAAGTACAGAAGTGCTAATGGCCTGAGAAGGAGGAGTGTGAGTATCAGGGCCTGGGTACAGAGCTAGGGACAGTGGGTAGAGAGGAGTCCACCTGACTTCTTGCTCCAAGCCTATAGATTAAATCTTCCAATACATTTCCTCAGTCAGAAAATTTCTGAATGGAACCTTCTCCACACAGGAAGCTGAAACAGGGGTCGAGAAAAACTTGAAACGTCCAGATAATCAGGAAGGTAGAAAGTGAAGAAGCTTAGGTGTGAGACATATTTTGAGGACCATCCTAAGGTGGAGTGACAGTCCCTGATGGTCTCATTTTGTGAGTGAGACAGTGCAAACCCATCATCATGGTGAAGGATCTTAATCTAAGACTCAGAAGGCCTGAGAGTCAGGACCATTTTCATCACACTCTGGTTTTGGTAGTGCTAGGGATTAAACTCATGACCTACATGCTAGAGAAGGTAGTCTGCCATCGAGCTACATCTATAGCCCTTCTTTACCCTCTGGGCAGAGCAAATACTTGCCTCTGAGCACTGGGACAGGGTGTTAAGAACATTTGCTTTGGTGGCGGATGGGCTGGATTGTGTCCCTCCTCAGATTCACATGTGGAAGTTTCAAGGAGACCTAGGTTCTCAGAATGTGGCCTTATTTGGAGATAGGTCTTTGTAGAGGCCATAAAGCATTAATGAGGTCATTAGAGTGACCTTTAATCCAACATGATGGTGGTATTCTCATAAAAATATAATAAAAGGGCAATTGGGACACACGGAGACATTTACAGAGGGAAGACAATGAGAGGACACAAGGGGAGAAGACAGCCATCTGCAGGCCAAGAAGCCAGGCCACACTGATTCTTTCCTTAGGAGGAACTTCGGAGTTGTGAGCATGTACATTTCTGAGGTTTACACTATCTGGTCTGAGGTACTGTATTCCTAGCAGCCCTAGGGTTGCTATGAACTGGTGAAGGATAGGAAGGTAACCATGGACACACATACAAGGCCTTGGATTGTGTCCTCCATTGCTAGGCATCAGGGAATAGAATTGTACAACTGCACCAAGTCAAGTGCCAGTTTGTTCTCACTAATTACAAAGCCAAAGAGGGCTGCAGCCCTGTCATAGTGGGTGATGAATACCTTGCCCCAGCTCCTGACAAGGTGGGCATGGCTCAGGAAGCTGAAGTGGGCTGCTAGGCCAGCTCAGGCTTACCTCTGTGATGCGTGGGTTTGTGCACTTGCTGTGGGCACCAGACAGCTCTAGCCACCGGCTCTCGTGGGCAGGACAGTGTTGACGCAGGGTGCATTGGCCTGGACTCTGGCACCAGCCACATTCAAAGTCTGGGTCAGCCTTGAGGCACAGCCCACAGCTCTCACGCATCGCCCCACATTTGTAGAGAAAAACTGGAGAAGACAAGGGCGAGAAGTGCTGGGGTGGGAAGGTGCTGAGAGCAGTCAGCGACCAGGACAAGGTCCAGCCTTGGATGCTGGGGTGATGGCATTGACGGGCCATTTGTCACTGTGACTCAGAGAAGACTGGAAAGGACTCTGGGCTTGAGAAGAACTAACTGCGGAGGCTGAGTGTCTCCATTCAGACTCAGTAGTCAAGCCAGGCATTGATGGCTCACACCTGTAATCCTAGCTATTCAGGAGGCTGAGATTTAAGGATCACAGTTCAATGCCAGCCCAGACTCAGCAGTCATTGGCAGTACTCTTTACTCATTCCCTTCCCCTCCTGGGACCCCTGCTGTGCAGAGCCCATGCCCATGAAGGAAGTGTGCACTGGATGCGAAGAAGAAGCCAGAGCCTGAGAGGGACAGACAACTGCTCATAGGTCAGGGTGAAGTCCTTCCATACCTTTATTCTGAGCTGGGTTGTCAATGTTGAAGTGTCCATTCCATACCACTGTCAGTTCCACTGGCAAGTTGTTAATCTCCATCCCTTCATAGGAATACTGCAGCCAGACCAGGACAGAGGAGGAGAGGAGAAAGTTGGCCATGAAGAATTCTAAGGATGCCCAAGTGGCCAGCCTAGGGCCCTCAAGAGCACACAGGGCAAAGGACTGGGCAAGACTCTGTATGAATGGACCACCATGCCTGTGTACATTTGGATATGTGCATGCACATGTATATATGGACAGGGGAAGTGGAGGGCATGGAAAGACAAAGCAAGGAGCGGGCCGGGCTTCCATAGCATACCTGAAGGACAGCAGAGCTGTGTGAACGCACACCTGTGTGGAGGCTGGTTTAGTGAGCAGACTGGACTAGCTTTCACTGCCAGTGGGTCTCTGTGAGGAGCACTGGAGGCTGTTCCTGCCCAGCTAGGCTTTTCCCATAAAACTTAATGGAAGGAAGAATCAGTTTCTTCCCAACAACTTAAAGAGCACTGGCCACTGGGCCCTACCATGCCCACGCTTACTGGTGGTTTTCGCATTTCTAGGAAGCATGCAGATCTTGGCTTTCACAAAGACCTGGAGAGGGCAGATCCTCTGTCAGGTAGGGGATGTGGTTGCAGAGAATATGCATGAAGGGGCTATGCTCTGGAGGGAATGGGAGGCTGGAGATGAGAGAGGACAGCCAGGAGCTTAGAGTAAGAAGTGGGCTTCCCACTGGACCCCTGAGGACAAGCCTGGGAACCTGGGCAGAACTCAAAAGGCATTCACTGCCTTGAGGTCCAGCTCCTTGCCACACTGCTGCCTTTGGGTGCCAGGGCTGATTCTGATGTTCTTCTGCCTGGCTCTCTTCAGGATCTGCTGCTCCCACCCTGGCTGTCCTGAGAATGGAAAGTGGGGGAAGACTGGGGGTGCTGGGAGGCCTCTACTCTGCCTTGTAGAGCAGTACTTCTCAGTACTCAGCTAGTGAGCAGAGCCTCCTTTGGAGGCTGGGCTGCAGTTCTAATCTCTACCTGGTGATTTTCTTATTTTCTATCAGACTTTCCCATCGGTGGGAGAGGGAAATTGAATTGGGACAGATTTTTCTGTACAGGAGGGGAAGAGGGTTAGCAAGTTGTTGAAAAGATTCATCCAGGGGACTTGGTAGGTGTAAAGTTGTACTAGCAAAGGTAATGGGCTCTTTGAGCTGAGCCTAGAGACAAGGTTTGGGGGGGGGTGGGCTGGGCTATTAGGGTATTGATAGACAGCAAAGGAAGGTGGACTGAGGATGGGGGTGTGTGGGAGAAGTGTCTTTCCTCTGATCATAGGCTCTGGGAACGGCAGCCTGGAGATAATCTTGGGTCCAGGGTCCATGCCTCTGTCTTTAAGTAGAGATATAGCCTGTTCATAAAAGTTTCTCAAGGTGATTGTATGATCCGCAGTCCAGACATCTTCCCAAGTCCTTGAATTGCAGAATGAGTCCCAATGTGAACATGCCACAAGGTCCTAAACAGTAACATGAGCAGGTTCTGGGTCCAGGATTCTTTGGGTTTCTACTCTAGGGTCCAAAAATTTTAACCTACTTCTTATATGCCAGGCCAGGAGGCCTCAGTTGGTGTTTTTCTATAATAGCTTGCAGTGTGCCATTTATACTCTCACAGACTCCCTCTTGTGATGGGTGCATCTGGGCCCACATGATAAAGCAAAGCCCCTAGTATCGAGGCGGAAGTACAGATTCCAGGACCCTACTCCAGACATGCTGAATTTGACTGTCTGGAGATGAAGAGCACTTTGAAAGCGCTCCTCTGGGCTTCTGGTTGGAGACTCCATGGTCACAAGCAGGGAGACAGGGGCTGGTTCAATGGAGGAAGAAGTGTATAAAATCAGCAGACCTCCCTTCCTCATATAAGAGAAAAAGCCAGAACATTTGTAGGCCTCCATCCCCATCTCCTCTTCCCACTTCATGTCTTCTTCTTCAAAGGCCCCAATGGGGAAAGATGTCCAAGACCTCAGTCAGACTCCTGGCTGGAGGGCTGTGGATGGGGCTGGCTGTTTCAATAACCCAGGCTGAGCATCATCTGTCACTGGAGTCAATGTTGGGGACCAGCTTGGCCTCTGCAGGGATGCTACCATGGCTAAGTCAGGCTTGGAGCCCAGGTTCAGTCCCTTAGGCCTGGTCTGGGTGGGATCCAAAAGAGGTGATGACTGGAGAGGAGTTAGCCAAATGTTAACAGAAGCTTCAGGACCCTTACTTTGGGACCCCCTGTACACACAGAGTATAATGTGCTTGTCAATAGTCTCAGCTGCTAAACATTTTTCTTTGTGTGCCCGTACTTGAAATCAGGCATTCTCATTTGTTTGTTTGTTTGTTTTACTTAAGGGTGCCGCTCTACCACTTGAGCCAAACTTCCACCTCAGATTTTTGCTAATTAATAGATGATCAGAGTCTCATAGGTTTCCTGCCAGGGCTAGCTTCAAACCTTGATCCTCAGATCTCAGTCTCCTGAGTAGCTTGAATTATAGACATGAGCCACCAGCACCCAGATTCCCAAGTATTATCATGTATTTCAATCTATGTGATACACCTGGGAATGCTCTGTGAAACTCTGTTTGTGCTGCCTGTGTTTATATTTGTGTGAAATAATAATAGCATGTACTGAGTGTTTTTGTGCCAGACACTGGGGTACATATGGGCTGTGTGCATATGACAGTGTTTGTGTGTCCTAGTGCGTGCACATGTGTGCGTGCGTTTTCTATTTTGAAATATCTGAAAATAAAAACATCTTACATGATCAGATACACTGAGCATTGCTTTTATCTTTCTCTCCCTCATTCCTGGGATCACAACTCTGAAATATTGTAGAAATCATTAACCCCAGGTATGCCTACACCCCTCCTGCTAAGGTCTTTAAGGAAGTCACTGTGTCCAGAGACTCTTCCTTGGCAGATAACCAGAATCCACAAGAGTGAACCAGCTTAGCAGGGCTCTCTGGCTCCCATTCCCCCCCCCACCCCCCAGGCTATCCCCACCCAGCTTCACTTAGCATTTATATAGCTCCCTGTAATCAGCAGGCAGTTAATCTGCACAAAGCTTAGTGCTGGGCCTTACGTGTTACAGGTTCCTGGAGGCCAGGAGGTTAAGTGTCTCAATCAAGGTCTGGCACATCACTGGCTTGGCTAATGGATGATTTTACTCATTATCTCCAGGAAGTGTGACCCACCGCCTGTATTCCTTCTGAGGCAGACAGGACCCCTGAAGCATTGAGATACTCTTGCCTCTGAGCATTCCCCCCACCCTAGCCCTCCCCCCCCACCCCGGGATCAAGAATTTTGCTGGAAAGTTCTAGTATGTGGACCAACAAGGCTGTGCAGTATAACACTACACAAGAAACTAGTCTGAGCCTGGTATGGAGCCCTGGGACTTCGGAGGGCTCAATGGCCTGGCTCTCAGCTGTGCTCCAGGGACAAAATCTTTTCCTAATTCTCTCTCCATCTCTGTTTTGCACATGGGAAAGTACTTGAAGAACACGTGAGGCTGGCATGAGACTCTGGCAGCTGGGCCTGGCACCCCAGGTCGGCACAACCAGCACTGGAGCCAGCCAGTGCCCTTTGTGGCCCAGTCCCTTGCGTGACTGCCAGCCTGACAGGAGGTTGTAGACTCTATTATTAGCAGCACTTGACATTTTGCTGGAGCCTTGATCTAAAGTAGGCCATATACCCATAGTGGCTCCCCTCCGTGGCTGCCTGGGACCCACCCTCTTCTCCTCACACTGTCCCCTGGGTCTGCAGCCCTTGGTCTAGGGCCTAGCCCCAAATAGTGGGGCTGGAAGCAATGCCATCTGTACATCTAGTCCCTCTTCTCTCTGCTCTCCTCTGAGATCTCTGTTACTAACCTCCTAAAGCCACCATAACCCAGGGGTTTGCTGTTGGAACCTCCTCCCTCCACCTCCAGATTGTTCATGGACTTAAAAACAAAACAATCTCTTTGTATTATCCTCTCTGAGGCTGACCAAAGTCTGCTCTGGTTAGAGCTTGCTTCAGTGAACACCAAAGCTAGATATAAAGTGTCCCATTGCTTATACATACATACATATATATGCATATACATATGTATACATATATATTTGTTGCTGTTGCCTGATCTTTGTTTATGGAATGTAATTCATATGTAATTGAAGTCTGTACCTTCCTTGCTGTGTGTCCTGGGGATAGGATAGCCACTTATCCTTTCTGGGCCTCTGAGGCCCTCTGCCAACAGGATCTAAAAGATAATCCTCTCCTCATGTCTAATTCTACCTGATGGCACCTAGTTTTCTATGACTATCAGGGACAAGGATGATAAAAGAGAAATTTTTCTAAATAAGTCACTTGGTGACATGGCATTCTGACGGAGATCAGCATAGCTCTGGGGTCCTCCTGTTCCTTGCTCAAGATTTTCTTAGGGGATGCTGGGGGCAGTGCAACGCAACCTGTGTCCAATTTTCACAGTAAATAGAACAGCAGAGGGACCTTCCAGCCTCCTGGAGTCTAAGCTAAGTCTCTACGTCATGGAAGAAGCTCTAGTCTAGGGTTTTAAAGGAATAAGGCCATTGTATGTGAGTTCCTTTGTGTGCTTAACCCAATCAACACAGGGCTCACAAGGTGCCTTGTAATATTTGTATCCCTCTTTCTGGGAACTGAGATCACAGATTCTTTCTTCCCTCTCAATGCTACCTGGGTCCCCAGGACTGCTTCTCCCAGGAAACAAGGTTATTTTCTCTATGTTCTGAAATCTCCACCATAACTGCCAAGTCAAATGAGGGGCCCAGACTTCCTTTCCAGTGGGACCTTCTTGATTAAGGGCAAAGCACTCTGAGCCAAGCCCTTAGGGCTGGTCTGCATTGGCCTCAAAATTTATAAGGAAGCAGGAGGTGTTTAATATACCCTTTGCTTGCAGGTTTAATCTAGAACACTGCAGAAATCTGGGGAAAAAACAGCCTGGTTGACAGGGAAGATGGGGGAGGTGTACATGAGAAACTAAGGAGGTACATTTAGAGTTTCCAGAGTGTGAGAGCAGGGACCAAGTCCATCTCTGTAATGCGGAGTAAACTTTGGCAATTTTGTGGGCTTCATTAATCTCTGTTTCCCCCTGGACTGTGTCCTGTAGGAAAACTAAGGTGTTTCCATACAATCCTTTGTCTGGTCTCACATCATGCCAACAAATTCAATCATTGCATATAAATACCCATAGCCACTTGTAACTGTAAATCTGGCCAGCCTTTCACTACTATATGACCTTGAGTAACTAACTCATTCACCTTCTGCACAGGAGCAGGTTATCCCACATCAAATGGAACCTCTACTTACTTTTGTGCCCCTTGCTAAGGCTTGCATATGAATGTAATTTTTTATTTATTATGTTTTGGTCTTAAACAAGGTTCTCAAAACTGAGCAGAGTGGGTTGGGAATGTGGCATAGTGGTAGAGTGCTTGCTTGGCATGCATGAAGCCCTGGGTTCTATTCCTCAGTACTACATAAACAGAAAAAGCCGGAAGTGGTCCTATAGCTGAAGTGGTAGAGTGCTAACCTTGAGCAGATGGAGGCTCAGGGATTGGCCCTGAGGATTGGCAAAAAAGAAAGAACAAACAAACCCAAAAACAAAAAACAAAACAGAGCATAATGGCTTACATCTTTAATACCAGTTACTTTGGATGCAGAGATCAGGAAGACTACTGCTCCAGGCAAAAAGTTAGTAAGACTTTAACATCTTATAATGAGTCTCATCTATTTATTCTGGCTACTTGGGAGATATAGGTAGAAGGACTAGAGTCAGGGGCCAGCTTTTGTGGTAGAGATAGTAGGGGAAGAAAGTGACACACTATGTGAAAATAATTTAGACCAAAAAGGGCTAGTGAATGGCTTTAATGGTAGAGTGCTTGCCTAGCAAGTGCACTATCCTGCATTCAAACTCAGTACTGCCCTACAAACCTGGCTGAGGCCCTACACCTGGGCCTCTGTCTTCTCTTTTGCACTGTAAAGAAACATTTACTTTCTCATAGCTTGAAAGTGTTTTCAGTGGATAAATCTAATGTTGGCTACCACAAAGCTAGGTGCAGAGAACTGAGCCAGAGAGAGAGCGAGAGAGACTAGAAGTATGGCTGGAAGGCAACCAGGTGAGAAGAGGAGCAAGCTGGTGGGGATACATAGTTAGGGACCCTAATGTGCTTCATAGTATTTGGGTGGACTGTGAGGGCTGCGGACCTCTCACTGATGGAACTTGGATATATTGCAGGCATTTCTCAACACTGAGCAGGTTCAAGCTGATATAAGCAGCACATTCCTGGCCAATTCCCACTGGATCAATAGTTACCTTTGCGAACACTTGGTTTTTCCAAAGACTTCTTGATGGGGACATAGCTTCTATGTACATTTGAAGGTAGTGGTGGGCTTTTGTGGGCTCTGATGAGGCACTGGTAAACAGGGCCTGGGGCCTCCAAAGCAACTCTCAGGAAAGAAGACAGACAGGAATGCTCATGGAAACCAACTTACTACAAACATACTTGTCTGCTATGTACCTGTGGCTCATGCCTGATATCCTAGCTACTCCAGAGGCTAAGCTCTGAGGATCATGGCTTGAAGCCAGTCTGGGAAGTCAGATCTGAGATGCACTTATTTCCAACTAACCAGCAAAAAGCTGGAAGTAGAAATGGAAGCTCCAGTGGTAGATTACCAACTTTGAGCAAAAATACTAAGCTAGAGCTTGAGGCACTGAGTTGAAGACCCAGTAGCAGTACAAACAAAACAAAAACAAAAAAGATACCTGCTTACAACAGACCTCAGTGGTCTGATGCCATCTCTTCCAGTCTTAGACAGAGGACCTTCTTCCCAACATGGCTACAACCAGAATCTGACCCTGGTCTTTGTGGCCCGAGCTTGGTGGGTGTAGAGGGGTTGGACAAACAGGGTAGGAAGGAAGCAGGTAGGTTGAGAATGAAGTGGTTATGTGGGTATCAGGGGAGCCCTGCTAAGCTGAACTGACCAGGCTGCAGGAGGTAGACAGGGGCAACTCACGGAGGTGTTTTGGCACTGCACACTGGAGCTGTTGAAGCGCAGGGCAGGTACCCTCTGCTCGCTGCCTTGGATATTCAGGATGCATTCGTAGCCTCGCTGCCCAGACTGTGGCTGTGGGAGGTTCTTGGCCTTCAGAGTGATAGGTTTGATCACCTCCACGGGCACCAGGATCTTGTCCACTCGCAGAAGCTGAGGGCAGTCCTGGGGACAGAGGGCACAGCTCAGGTTGGAAAGCCAGAAAGTCAAAGGGACAGGGACCTCTGCAGGCATTATACAGATATGAGCCTAGATGAACCTCTTGTTCCCATTTGACACTAGTTGTGGGGATGTAATGGGACTGAGATATCCCAGGTCCTGGAGTTATTGTCTTGAGGCTACTTCTTGTGGAGTCTGACCTCAGCACCTTTGGAATTGTGTTCATGTCTTCTGCATTAGATTCTTTGGCACATCTGTGGGCCCCTCCTGGAATCCCTCCTGTCCAGCAGGCTGATCCACTTGCCTGGGAGTCCTGTTCCACTGGGGACTGATGGTCCCTTTTCCTGCCAAATTCTAGGCAGCCAAAAGTGAGGACAGATGGGCCTCATAAGAAGCTCCACAGGGAGGCAAAAACCAGGGCCTCAGCTCTGCCTCTGTGCTCCATGAGTCTAGACCACAGATGGAGAGGCTTGAGGACCTCCTATACACCGGAGTCTGGCATTTGGGAGTGTTCTGGAATAATCTCCAGTGACCTTTATCAATCTAGACACTTCAGACTGAACTCTAGAGATGGCCAGACCCTAAGGAAATGCCCATTGGAGCAGATGATCACTGAGATGTTTCTAGATGCCAGTAACAAGCATGCTAATCCCTGCATCCATGTGCCGCTCAGAGATCCTTGGGGATGAAGGGGCTGAGTCACAGAGCCCCTTTTCATGGAGCATGGACATAAAGTATCTGCAGTGGCCAAACTCAAAGATAAAGAGATTGGTGCAATGTGGAAAGCTATTTCAAGAGCAGATTTTAGTTGGAAATAGTGAGGATGATTATACAACAATGTATATGAACTTAAAGCCACAGTGCTGAACCTTTAACATTGGTTACAATGGTACACATATACTTATATGTGTGTTGTGTGTGTGTGTGTGTTTTACCATAATTCAAATGAACAATCAAAACAAAACAGAAAGTAGCAGCAGAGAGGCAGGCTAGCACGAGAAGCCAAGGCCAAGGCTATACATCTCAGCCTTGACCTTGACCTGACCTTGTTTGTGGCTCTAGGGCTCTAAAGAGGCGGACCTCTGGAAATCTCGTCTGGTTTATGTAGAGCATTAATACCTCCCTTCAGTTCCTTTTCTTAACTGCTACCTAGTCCCCGTGCTCAGACAAGATGGGAATGTTGGATCTAGATAAGAAGGAGCAATAGCATGGAAAGGTTAATGCTCAAGTTGAAGTGGGAAGTGTGTGATGCTGGAGAATCATTGGCTGAAACTCTATGAAGGGTGGAGAGTTGTGAGGCTTAGTTCCCAGGCTAGTGAACCTCATTCCACCTTCTCTCTGCCAGAGCCCTGGGTAGCCTTTGTTTCTAGATGCTAGGACTGTGAGTCCACTTGGAAAGATGACTAGGAAGCAATGGTATGTCTCACCCCTATCTCCTTTATCAAAATGTTGCCACCTTTGATCTTGCACTGGAGGTACCTGGATCCAAAAATCCTTTTTTTGTTTTGCCAGTCCTGGGGCTTGAACTCAGGGCCTGGGCACAGTCCCTGAGCCTCTCTGTGCTCAAGGCTAGCACTCTACCACTTGAGCCACAGCACCACTTCCGGCTTTTTCTGCTTATGTGGTGCTGAGGAATCGAACCCAGGGCCTCATGCATGCGAGGCAAGCACTCTACCACTGAGCCACCTTCCCAGCCTAGTCCAACAGTCCTTTGACCAAACTAATGGGCTACTATACATTGTGAAAATGTAACTGAGGCAAGGAATGAAAAAATAATGACTGTGTTAGCAGATGAATAGCTAGCCGCAGACTCCTTTCTCCCTTTCATGAAAGAGAAAGTTCCCACTAGTGGGTAGAAAACCTTAGGATAGGGTGGTTGGTCAATCAGGACTTGCAACTCAAAAGTGTGAATTACTCCTAAACTGGGCTGGAACCTAGCTGGAGTGCTAGACTGTCTTAACCCAGGTTGGCCCCTGTAAGATTTTCACTGATGCTTGTTAAGAGAGTTCAGATGCCTCCTGACTAACAGTGGCCCCATAAAGACCTAGTTTGCATATAAAAAGATTGGTGTCTCTGCTAGTAAGTTCATTAATAATAATTGGAGAGGCCTTGGACTAGATTTGGTGTATACGTTTTTTCTAGCCAGTGTTGATGATTGACCTTAGTGCCCATTCTAATTGAAATGTGAAATGGCAATTTTCCTTCAGGCAACAAGGCCTGAAGAGACTCTTTCTACCACCTAGTCCCTACCTCCCACTCCAGTATCCCAGATTCTGACCTGCTGAGATTCCAGGTGTTAAAACACCTATACATCCAAAGCTCCTAGGAAATCTCAGAGAAATGTCAGCATTCCTGTATGTCAGTCCTGGAGCTTGAATTCAGGGCTTGAGCGCTGTCTCTGAGCTTATTTGCTCAAGACTAATGTACTACCACTTGAGCCACAGCATCACCTGCAGCTTTTTCCGTGTAGCTTATTGGAGATAAGAGTCTCGTGGACTTAATTAGCCAAGCTGGCTGTGAACCACAATTCTCAAATCTCAGCCTCCTGAGTAGCTAGGATTACAGGTATGAACCACCAGTATCCAGCTCTGAGGCTCTGTTTCATGGTCCAGGGTCTCAGACCTGGGATCTCACAAAATGAGAGCAAGTATCCTTTTCCTATTCATTTCAGAATTGTCACTGTCTGACCTAGCTATAAAATTCTTCTTCCAAGCATATATTTTGAGGATTCCATGGACTAGAAAATACAAAGCATCTGGCCCAGAATGAGCAAACATTCAACAAATGTTTATCCTTTCTTTGTTGTTTCCAAGCTCAGGCCACAGTCTTGTCCTTCATCTGTTCCTTATTCCCGTTTCATATCCAAAGGACTCATCTCCCTGGCTCCCGCCTCTGTGCTTTTTCTAGAACTATCCCATCAGTTCCTATTGTCAGTTTATTTCAGCCTTCTAAGCTTCATGTCTTACACTGAGTTTGACTAATTCAATACTTTCAAGTACCTCAGCACAGTCAAGGCAGGAAGGGAGATCTGAGCTCTGTCCAATGCTTCCCTAATGGAAGTGCTTTGTTCTGGAGGTGACATCCTAAAGCCACCATCCTAACTCACCATGATGGCTATACATTTACAAGCTCCAAGTGTTCTGAGTGAGATAGGAGACTTACTGGTCAACCACATAGCCTTGAGCATACCTCTCAAACCCTCTGGATCTCTTCATTTATTATGGGAAGAGATTGGTTTGGATTAGATGATCTTAATGGTCCCTGGGAGATCTATCTATCTCTATCTATCTATCTATCTATCTTGCAGGTTCCTGGCAAAGAGCTTCTAAGACACATGGAATTTCTTGAGTGATCTGAATATATTTTGTTATTCATAATAAGCCCATTTTTACCATACTTAATGCTAAAATGAGATGGCTCTTGGATGATAGGGAACCAACCATGTGATTGGAGGGTCTTCCTCACTCTCTGGGGAAAAGAGATGGTCTAAAAACTTAAGTTCAAATACCAATTGCCAGTGAAGTGAGTCAATCGTGTCTAGGAATCTCATAAAGCCCCTAAATTCCAAGACCTTCCTAGTTGGAGAACAGATAGAGGTGCCGGGTGGAGGATGTCCCTGGACAGGCCCCCTTTCCCATATACTTTGTTCTATAGACCTTCCTCTTGCTGTTCATTGGTAAGCTTTGTAATATCGTTTAAAGGAACATGTCTCCTTGAGTTTTGTGGCCCAGCATAACCAATAATCAGACTTGAAAAGGAGACTGTAGGAGACTGACTTATAGCTGGTTGGTCAAAAGTACAAGTGACAAGATCAGGCTTGTGATTGGCACCTGAAGTGGGAGCAGTACTTTGAGACTGAGTCATTGAACTTGTGGAACCTGGCATTAACTATAGTAAGATAGTATCATAATTGAACTAAACTGTAGGCTACCTAACTTACATCTGCAGAAGGGTGAAGAACAGCTCAGTGTGGGAAAAATGGCCACACATGTGGTGTCAGAAGTGTGAAAAATTGAGAACAGCTTATTTTTCTTATAGTACCAGTTCTGTTACTAACCCAATAGGCGACCTGGGATACATTATTTTATAACCGTTCTGAAGGTCAGTTTTCCCATCTTTAAAATGAGAATAATACCTTCTCAATTAGCTCAAAGTGTAATGGTGAAAATACCAATCAAGTAAGTGAATACTGAAAGGGCTGCGGTAGTACAGGGACTTTATGAAGGTAGGTCTCTTGGAAGTGGCCATTTGCCTATCAGTAGGGAAGCATTTTAATAGTTTAGTAATTGGTATGCTGCAGCCTGGCCTGGTCCTACTGCTGAGTACTGGCTATGGTAGACAGTGTGCTCTACTTCCATTATTGTAGTTAATGTGGTTAACTTGGTACAGGGATTTCAATCTAGTGTACATTCTGCTACCTTCCACCACCTCATACATACGTTCTCATGTATGATTGTGTTTTATAATGCAACATATATTATGGGTCCCATGTTTCATTGAAGATGATTCAATTGCAGTAACCTCACTCCATATTCATACTGAAGATGAACACAATGTTTTCTTAAAATCTGATCATTTTACTTTTCTCCACTGATGATTATCTAGCCCCCATACAGATTTCCTCCCAAACATACTGCTCTTCTCTTTTCAAAGCAGATAGTTCTCTGAACTATCATTTGAAAGGACCAGTTCTTGGAGGATGAAAAATACCTGTACTTAACAAGATTATTTGGAGACAGATGCATGCAATAAGAACCAGTCTCCCTTGGAGACTATTTTGCCTGTGGCTACATTCTGCTATTAGAAAAATAGACAGAGGTTGAGGTGGCACAGTGGCTTGAGGCACAAGCAAACATTTAATGGCTTGGAATTCAGGAGGTGGATCCAGCTGACTTCAGGTCAACCATCCAGCCCCCTGCACATTTTGGTCTTCACTTAAATACACACAAAATGAAGATAGCACAGCTAATTGCAGAGGGCATGAACACAAAGCCAGATATGAAAGC